TCGCCACACCATACAATTTACAAAAAAATAATTTAAAATTTTAGTATCTTTAGTATCCCCTCATTTTGATATAATCTATCTTTTTTTTTATTTTTGGGAATTGTTATTAGCATTCCAAAAATCTCATTCTATACTCCAAATTTTCTATATTGGAAAAGAAAAGAATGAGATTTTTGAAGTGTAAATAACACTTTATCTTTTTTTTATTTTTTTAACAAACATTTTCACTAAAAAAAAATTGACTGTGGCCATATAGAATTGGAGGGATCGTGCTTGTGCTCCAAAAGACAACGCCACGACATTAAAAAATAAAAAAAAAAATAAAAAATAAAAAATAAATTATTGAACGCAAGGGCCTGCGTCGCCATGTGGTCGGACCCCAGTAAGTGACCGTACGATTTCAACCTTTCACTTAATCTAGAGTCTAGACCTTTAATTATCTGCACGTTGTGGTCCGCGCGCTCGACATGGGTTAGAGGGCTTTATTGTGCGCGCAGGGCCTGCGTTTTCTCCATTGCAAATGGGCAAAAGCTGACTCATATCCACTCATATTTTACCCCCGTTTAATAGCAGGAGAAGGCCTTAGGTGCGATCATCATTGGTGGTCGGCTCTTCGCCTTGTGAGAAAGGGAATGAGACACAATGGAATTGGCCTTGTGGCGTAGGGATGTTTTTCTCTGTGTGTGTGTCGTATAGCCCCCGGAACCGGTATTTGGATCAAAGAACTTCTTCAATAACACTTGTATACCCACCCCAAAACTAGAAAACTAACATTATTAACCCTTAAGTACATGCGTTGGAGAAGATTTGGGGGCAAAATTTTCAGTTTTCAAGCTTCTCATCGCCATCGGAGAAGGTCTTGGGTGTGGGCCACCATTGGTGGTGGGCCCCGTTGTGTAGTGCAAGAGGGGTTCGAGCACCAATGGGCCCAGGTGAACATGAAAAGATCAGAGGGGTGAGGCATGGAGGATTTTGTGTGTGTGGGTTGTACGGCCGCATGGTTCGATTTTCAAGCTGAAGAATTTCTTCCATTGGAGATGGTCTTAGAAACTAGATATATACATTAGTTTTTCGAACAATTGTAAACTCTAAACTAACTATAAACTCGTTTGAAAATACTTGTAAAGCAACAGAAAACTCTTTTGATGAAAATATTTTTAAAACTAATCATTCGTAATCCTGAAAAAGCACTATCAAATTTGAAACCCTTCTTATATCAAGTGTTACCGCAATATAAAAGTCGAAAATAAATTATGTGGCCCATTGAAAGCCCATTTGTTTTCAAAGCCTAGTTCGTTGCTCTGGTTGGCAATTCGGCCCATTGAAATCCCGTGGTTCCCTCAAAACCCTAGTTCTTTCCATCTCTATAAAACGATGGCAGACGCCCACTTTCCAGTCAACCCGGCAGCGCCTTCTCCGTTCATGTTCATCTTCTAGGGTTTACTTTTTCTCTGTTTGGATCATCCCGATCGCCATTTTTTTAGCAGAAATCTAATTTTAGGTAGCAAAAAGTTTAAGAGATGGAGAAAGAAGGAGATTGGCGGTGATGACCCAATGAAATTCAAGCTCAACAGACCGGATTGTAGGCTTCTCTTTTCAGAGAATGTTTGCGTGTCGACAACCCCGCTGAACTGAGCCTTCTCTTTCTCTTCTTTTCTTCTCAATTTTAATATTTATTTCTCCAAAAAAATTTCATGATTTGGTTTTTCCTTTTTATTTAATTTGTTTTTAATTATTTTGTTTAGCTTAATAAAATTTCGGTGGGAAATTAAAGAAAAGGTGGGATTGCTATGAGGATACCAAGCTCCCTCTTCTGAGTAAGGTTGAGGAAACTTGCCGGCAGAATCGAACCTAATATTTATTAGCCACCACTGAGTATTTCTCCCCTTTTTTCCCACTTTAATTTTTTTTTTAAATTAAAATTTCGATCTTTTTATTTTGTTTTAATTGTGAATTTGGTTGTGGGAATGATGGATTGGGATGAAGAAATCAAATTATCCAACACTTGATCTGAGATATTTGTTATCGAGTGATGTTAATTGATATACTTCTGAATCTGAATTAAATATTAATTTAGATTTATTGTATTTTATATTTGTGAATGTTTTGATGGTTTGAAAATAAAAATTCATCAGGTGATGAAAAATGGAATAATCTTAGGACACCTTCCTACACTGCAAAAATCTTGCTGTGGATGAGAACAACTTTCCATTCTGATGATGATTTTTTATTTGAATTTTACTGCAACATTCGATGTTGCCACTATTTATTATTTATTATTTAATTTCTCTTGCAACATTTTTATGTTGCCAAGTTTTCTGCACTCTAAAACTGTTTCGAAAACTGATTTGTTTCTGTTTAATTGTAGATTTTCTTCCCATTTAGATTTTAAGTGGTTTGAAATCGAAACCAAAACGAACCGAATTGTAATGAATTTCATTGCGTTTCAAGCTATAAAACCACCGGTCCACATCGAACCGCAACTGAAACTGAACCACATCGAACTGAACTGCAACCGAACCACTCTACATTGAACCACATCCAACTGAAACTTAACTGCAACTGAACCACACTGAAATAAACCACAAAATCAATTTTGGTTCCGGTTTCACCCAAAAAATGTGGTGTCAATCCGCTGAACAAAAAAAGTTAGAAATTCTCACTTAATACTGTAGTGTGGTATATCTTTTTTTTATTTGCAAGTAAAAAGTTTTAGGTTCGAACACAAAAAAAAAAATTGGGGATCTATTGGGATAGTCGTGTGCCTAGATCATGGCAAGAGATTGTTTGGATTGGATTTTGGGGTATAGTGGACCGTTAGATGGATTTTGGGCTTCGTCGTATGGGTGTCTTTTGTTTTTACAAAGTTCCATATGATTTTTCAAACAACACAAAATAGTCCAATTCATGTTTGACCACCTTTACTCCACCTCCATTCTGGATTCAAAAACAGATGCTGGATTCTGTCAAGGCTTGAGTCTATTTGTTGAAACCTGTCACATGGTGGTACTAATTCACATTTATTCACGTAATACATGAGCATGAAATGTTTATATTTTCATCGAAATAATGTTAAGAAAAAGATACTCAGTGTATAATACAAGCAGATTGTATAACACTATCTGTAACACAGAGAAATGAAAATTTAAACTGTGCTGATGTCGTGTTATGTGGATCACTAGGCCCATTGGGGTCCTTGGCAAATGCGTCACAGTGAGGACATCCCCACAGTAACTAAAACCCATATGGCCAACTAAACCCTAGAACGAGCTTGGCATGTGCAAATATCTGTGCATGGCACTAACATTGCTCTCTCGATTCCAGACAAATCCAAGCTCCCGGATAACACACTTTTTACAACTTTGTATAAATATCTGACATAATATCCAATGTAGTGTATGATATATTTCGGATTTTAACCACCCAATCTTTAACTTTGGTAAGATTTTGAACCAAAAATTGAACGGTTCAAAAACCCAATATTCTGAAGCATCATAAAAAATCTCATACTTTCCATATCTTATTTCCACTTTGTGAGTAACATTCGCTGTAATATTGTTCTCCCAGATTCTCCAAAGAAAGTGTTTAAATGTGGTCCAGTGTTACTGTATATGCTAAATGTTTTTGTGAAGTGCGAAGTAAGCCACTTGGCCACCAGACTTGGCTATCAGAAACTGTACGTGCACCCTCAGATTCTCATCAAGACACTTTTGTTTAAATGGATCAGGACGAGTTGAACATCCAAATGACTCAAACCTTAGGTGGTGGAGGTGAAACAGGGTACATATGGCATGGCAGCCACTACACCACCATAACAAGAACAGAAGCTAAAAGCAACTTTAGCTGCTCTCAACTAAATGAAAATTACAGCAGGTGTTGTTTGGTTAGCATGCTTTCGTTGCCATGTGTCCCCAACGCAACACAAAACTGATACACTTGTGGATCTAATGGTCTCGTTCGGTACAATGGATGGGATCAGAATGGACAAACAACTGTTATCAAGATAGGCTGAAAGAAGAAATGAAAATTTTTGAACCAACTTGAAGATAGTAGATGAATTATTCAAGAAAATCAAATTGAAATGGAAGAATCCATTTCAATTCTCCTCAAAATGGGAGGACGAGGGAGAAGTTCTTCATGCATGTTTAATCCTTTTCCAATCGCTTCAAAGTACCTCAAATTTCGAAAGTTATTCATTTTAATTTAATTATTTATATCAAACAAGACTAATATTTTCTAATATAGATGAGCTTTACATATAATAAATTGCTATTTCTATAAATTAGTGTGTCAGTAAGTTAGTTTTGTGTGTCGAATAATTTATTGTCTCTATAATCGCATTGTTTTAGTCTACAAGGAAAACTTATCTAAACGATACTTCAATTTGATCCTCACGCATATTTTTTACCTAACAGTGCTTGATTAATATGATTTACAATAATCCCGTGGCATGAAACTCTTCTACACTATGGCACTTTTCCGTGAATCAGTTGGAGGGTGATTCATGTGCATGTAATAATCAGTTGAAGGGCGGTGGTGGGAATTATAATGATCTGTCCTTCTAGTGCTTTATTCTTGGTAAAATATATTTATACACTATATGCCGACCTCAGGACCAAATTGACTAATCCGAGTTATTCAATTCAGAGTAATGTTACATTATCACATTTTTTGTATTATATTTGTGTCATCTCTTTATGAGAAGTTTTCGGTGTTTTGAGAAACAGTCTGTACACCAAGTGTATAATCCAAATGGTTGGATATTTGAAATAAAAATTTCAATCACTTATATTATAACACTTGTTTATCGAACCATATTCACAACACATTAAAAAATTTCTCTAATTGAAACAAAACCTACCAATACATGTAGGTCCCTTCTTTGTTACAGATAGTAAAAATATCATTTTTGTTAAACATGTGAATAGGTCATGTCATCGTGGAAGTGCAAGTGCAATTGTGCATATCCATCAAACTCCATTATAAATGCCCACTCACCCGCATGCAAAAAAACCTAACTCACACATACTAGCTTTCACACAACCTAACCGAAAATGCAGCTCAATATTTTTCACTTCACGCTCTTCCTTTTTCTTTTGATCGCTGCCGCTTCTTGTTCTAGGGAAATCTCCTCAAGGAAGAACGAGGAGACCCCAAGCAGCGGTAGCGGTTCAGCCTACGGGCCGAACTGGGGCTATAATTGGGGGTGGAGTACGACCCCAGATGGCGGATTGGGTTATGGGTCAGGATACGGGAGGTCGCCAACTGGGTATGGAAGGGGGTACGGTTTTGGGTTTGGTTCTGGGGATGGACATGGCTCTGGGTCAGGCTACGGGTCTGGGAGTGGTGGGGCTCATGGCGGCGGCTATGGGTCTGGGGGTGGTGGAGCTCATGGTGGCAGCTATGGGTCTGGGGGTGGTTATGGTGAAGGTGATGGTGGAGCTGGTGGAGGTGGAGGTTGAGGAAGAAACAAGCACGGCTGATAAGATATTGGCCGAGAGTTTAGGGTTTCATGAGCCCCAGAGGCCAGTGTGTAGTGTGTACTATGATAACCATATTATAACTAGCTAGATATACATGTGTGTAAGCTTTTCAATAAATAATCACTAGACTTTAACAAAGAATATGAGTATTGCTAGTATATTTATATTTTCGTGTAGCAGTTCATAGTTTGTTGAGTTGCCATCTCTCTGGCTTATGTCTGTGAAACGATGACTGATATTTCTCTTCGCAATACTAAAAGAAAGTTTCACATTTGACTAACCCATTTTTCATATACTTCGTGAAATTTTGTTGTAGCTATTTGGGTTATATCACATTATCACTAATTGCTTTTGGTCGATATACTGATATTTTTTTTCTCGAAATTGAAAGAAACGTTCAAGTTTGGATCAACGACGTTTTTGTATATTAAGATCGAATCTCCTCTTACATAATAGTGTTTGTTGTAGGAAGTGAAATATTCTTCCCATTAAGAACAAAGAAAAGGATAGTGTTTAGGTAGGATGGATGTAGTACCCTATGAATAAACAAAAATGTTACTTTTACTACTTATTTGTGCATCTCTCTAATAGAAATGGAAGCCACATGCGTTGGCGGGGCTTACCTCTATTAGAGAGATGGTGGAGCCGGTGGAGGTGGAGGTTGAGGAAGAAACAACCATGGCTGATGAGATATTGGGCGAGAGATAAGGGCTTCATGAGCCCCAGAGGCCAGTGTGTAGTGTGTACTACGATAAAGCATATTATAAATTTATAACTACCTAGATACATGTGTGTAAGCTTTTCAATCAATATTCACAAGACATTGACAAATAATATAAAGCATTGTTGGTATATTTAATATTTTCGTGTAGTAGTTCATAGTTTGTTGAGTTGCCATTTCTCTCGCTTATGTTTTTCATTTAGTGGATAACTTTCAATCGATTGATATTTTTTTTTTCTCAATCCTGAAAGAAAGTTTCAAATTTGATTCACTCATTTTTCATATACTTCGTGTTAAATCTTCTTTTACATAATAGTGTTTGCTGTAGCTAGTAAAATATTCTCCTTAATATTTTGTTGTAGCTATTTGGGTAATAACACCGATTGTTTTTTTATCGATCTATTGATACTTTTCTTCTCAAAATTGAAAAAAAATTCAAGTTCGGATCAACAATGTTTTTTGTATATTTATATTTGTATCGGATCTCTCTTACATAATAGTGTTTGTTGTAGGAAGTGAAATATTTCTTCCCGTTAAGAACAAAAAAAGGGTTACTACTTACCAATGGCTAAAGCTCTGCCAGCTTGTTGCAGACTGAACTCTGCTATAGGCTCAGAGTTATTTTGAGATAGGATGGCTCAAAGTTGTTCGTAATTAACATCAAGGTTCTCCTTTTACGACCGAGCTACAACAAGCCAAGATCGCAACTCTAATAGAAACAGACGGTAAGCTCTCTGCCCTATTTGCTTGCAATTTTATGCCTTATCAAAAAAAGTTGGTTAACGCATCTATAACCTTAGACTCTTGAGATATACCCCTTGTTCAAAAAGGATTACATTTTGTTTCCTCTTGTTTTTTTATCCGTCCATACTATATCTTCTCTTGTTCAAAAATAACGTTAATACTTTATACATATTCAAAATGGTAAGTTAGATTGTTCAAATAGAGATCTTGCAAAACAACCACCACGCAACGCCTGGATCTACAAGAATGGCTATGTAGGTGAGGGGATCAGTGTTATGGTCACTTTGAGTTATGCTTGAAATTTGTGTATATGTTCACGTACAAGTTGCTACTCGCCTATAGACCGGGTTCTGGGTTCTTCCCTCAAACTCCCTAAGTGGTATTCGTATTGTAAAGCTATAAAGCTAGTCTAAAGTAGATTTAGGAACAAGGTGGTGGGTGGGGGTAAGAAGGTAGATGAGTTGTATAGGGATGGAAGTGCAGATGACTTGATCTTCTTTTATGGAGCTTCAGTGGATCAAGAACAATGAACAATTATAAAATCATTTTAAGATATCATGTCGTCTTATGTCACAAAAATGGTTGCTGGTCTTTTGTCTTCAAATTTTTTGTCTCCTCTGTGTCTCTTCTCTAGAGAAGATATCCTCTCCGAATCTCTTTCACCAAGGCCATCGGTTCAAATGATCCGGGCCTTTAAAATTTCATTCAACAATAAAAAATTATTGTAGCTTTTAAAGGGTTAAAACATGTGAGTTGTTGGATGGAATTTCAAAGGACCAGATCACTTGATCTGGTAACCTTGGTGGAAGAGATCCGAAGAGGATCTCTTATTTCTTCTCTAAATGTTTGACACAAATAATAAAGTTAATAGTGTTAACCCTTTGGTAAGTTGAAAGACATGTGTTAAGCAATTAGAAAAAATACATAAAAGAGATACAAAGTTTGAGACCTGCGGCCCCCGCATTTAGTTAGTACTCATACAAGTTAACAATAGCACAAATAATAATAAAAATTTTAAAACAAAAGTTAACAATAACATAAATAATAATAATAAATTAAAAACGAAATAATTATTTTTCCTGACATTTATAAATCGAATCAAAATTAGTCGAAAAGCACAAGGAAATATGTGGCAAAGGGAGCTCGAGCACATTACACAAATTTACAAGAGCATGAATTGGGCTCCAAGAAAAGCTTTTCACTCGTTCCTTATGCTGACACCATATAGGCTTTTCAACAATACACACCCAAAAACTCCAATGGGGCTCTGAGCCCATACGCCCCAAAACTTTAAAAAACCTATATGTTGGAATTAAACCAAATACAGAAGAAACCCACACACATTGACCCCAAACTTTTCAAACACCAAAAAGTGCTTAAACAGCAAGCTGCTTTTGATGGGTGGATTCATCTTCATCAAAGGAGCAGTGAAGCTTTAAACGTCTTGCCAAATCTACAGGAGAATCTGCAAATTGTAGAGGAGATTGCAGCAGCATTTCTCTCTGAAGGTAAGAGCAGTAGGTGTAATATGTCGCCGGCGTCACGTTCATTTGGAACCCTAATCCGAACAAGAAGTCCACCTCAAGAAGATTCATCTCTTGTGTGCTGATCCCTCCAACTCTGGCATAAAATGCATTGTTGTAGTAACTTCAAGAAACAAATGTAGATAAAAAAATATATTAATTACACTTTCTAACCAAATATTTTCAATAATTGCAGTAATAAATTAAATTAAAAACCATAAATTAGAGATGCTAATCTTTGCTGTTATATTGGACCACTATATGAGTTTATATAGGACCAAAGATTAGCTTATAATTTAAGGCAACATATATATATGATTGATGATAAGCAAAGACAAGTGGATTTTGTTAACTTTTGGCAAACCATACAAACATCCACATGGCCTTTGACTGAGCTGTCATTAGCATCAATAATGATGCCAGCTGTCGTTTATTCTCGTAAACTTTGCGATGAGAAAACATGCAATTCTTCATATATTACTAATTCACGTGTAATACAACGAGCAAACGATTATGTAACCGAAAAATTAGAGACTTTTAAGGGCACAGACAGCAACCCAGATCTTTAGGTAGGCTGTCTAGTAAAAGAGTGGAGGCATTCACATGGCTATTGCTATCCTCCTTTTTGGCGGTGGTTGCTTCCAAACGGGGACGTCATTTACAATAACAACAACAATCAAGTCGTATCTCATTAAATGAAGTCGGCTATATCAATCTTGGAACGTCACTACACCCGCAAAAGTTTTGCGCAAGTCTAATATGAACCTGCCTTTGTCTCATTTTCCTAAATTATGTTACAGAATTAAGAAGAAGAAGAAAAGAATGCAGAACTGTGATCACAAACTTTGAACGTGAAACATTACCTAATTTCCACCAAAAAACACTTTAATTTTCTACTTAAAATATTAAAATGTAATTTCCTAAAGAACCATATCCAGAAGAAAAAAAATTATTTAAAAACAGAGAGATCGTAAGAGTATTAATTCACCAAATTTCGGATGAAAAAAAACCCTGAATCTTGAAACACCCATATATAACAAAACCCAGTTCAAGAATTAAAGAAATAAGTATTACCCACAAAGAAAAAAGAATCAAAACTTGATTAATTTGAGCTAGTTTAATTAACCCATTTAATTAAGTAAACAAAACCCAGTTCAACAATTAAACAAATTAGCATTCCCACCAGAGGGAAGAATCAGACGTTGATTAACTTGAGCTAGTTCAGTTAAACCATTTGATTAACTAAATAAAACCCAGATTAAATGAAACCCAAAAGATCAAATCTTTGAAAGAATCTGAGTAAAAGAAAACAACCCAATTCAAGAAATCGAAAAGAAAAAAGAAGAAGAGAAAGCTTACATGTCGTCCATGAACTTTGCAGAGACCAAGACGCTGGTGATGAGCAAGCGATGGACATTGAAGGAATCGATGGGCAGCAATGGCTGCATCTGAGTGAACCGGTCGAGGTAGACGTAGGCGACGATGAAGCAAGATGGGCTGCAATCTGCGTACTTGAAGATCCTCTGGAGGTAACTGTGGATTGAGATGGTGGGCGTGGTCAGGGAGTGGAAGACCGACAGCTTCTGGGTCGGGTGAAACCGCCGGTTCAGGACGTTGGACTCGGAAACCCGCTCGAGGACGGAGGACATGAAGCCTATCATTCTTGGCATGGATTCTGGGCTCGTCGTCGTCGCCTCGAGCTGATCAGCCATTGCTGTGTTTAATTTGCTCTGTTTTCTTCTGTTGGCCGCCGGTTATATACAGGCTTTTCCTTTTTGTTGTTATTATTTTGTTTTATTTTTTGCTGTGTGACTTGTCTGAAGGGTTACATTTAGAGAAAGATTCAACAAATAGTAATTCCATTGGGAAAAATAAAACCGAATCTTAGGGAAAAAAAGGAAAATATGAAATTTAAACAAATTTTAGATAGAAGGAAAATAATCAAATTACAAGTATGTAATAATATTTACGTCTTCGAAGAACATAAACATTTTTTTTTTCAATAATAAAGGGATCAGGTGGTGACTTCACCACAACAATTTACTCTTTTGGGGGCCCAAAATACTTACAAAAGCATTTTAGTCTTCTTCTATTCATCATCGTGTGATTCACCAGCGCAAATAATCAAATACAGAACATGTTGTGTGTAATACAGACTTGAAATTCATCTCTAACCGAACTACCCCACGATGGTTAAAGAACATTAACATCCTTTTAGATTACCCTTACATTTTTTCACAATTCCACTACATTTGACAGATTAGATTCAAGTGTAATACTAAATGTTGTTAATCATTTCGACTTCAAATTTAACTCAATTCTCTCCAATTCATAAAAAAAAAAAAAAAACAAAAACTTGTCATATATGACTGGAGTCTAAGTACAAAGTGATTCTGCATTTTACTTTAATAGTCATGTATGACTCTGAATTTGACTCCAAAATTTTATTTGGCTCTTATCTGATGTGAATTTGAGATGATATAACATTTAAAGTCAAATTTGACTCAAAAAATAACTCTATAACTTGAACTATTATATTGAAGATAGTCTTAGGGCTTGTTTGAAAATACTATTAAAATGATTGAAATTACTTTTGGTGAAATTGATTTTGGGTTTGTCGATTCTAGGCCAGTCTCTTGCCTGGTGTGGGCTGGATGCTAGCCTATTAGGTTGGGGTGGAGCAAATTGAAGGGAAGCCGGTCTGTTTTTTAGCCTAGGTGCCGGCCTAAGAGCAGCGGTGGAACTGCTCTAAATGTTTTTTTAAAGAAGCACACACCAGATAAGTGCTTTTTCATGAACCACTTGAATTTTTACAAATGATTGATTTCAAAAATATTTTCATCAAAAACTCTTTTAGTCATCTTAAAAACACTTTCAAACAGGCTATTAATTAAATGTCTGCATGCCTTTACGGGGTTAAGAAAAATACAAGCTTGAATCAAATTGTATAAAATCATTGGTTAAATTTGCATTCAAGCTGGCAATACTCATTTAAAAAGCAGTGCAATCCCCATTACTTGATGCTTTGGATATGGAAGTCACACATTGGAGATTTGAGTTAAAATTGGTTCTAAAAATAATTTTTTTAATCAAAGTTTAGAGAAAATGAAACTGATGACAAAATAATTAATGTACCTAATTGAATCTTTTGTAAGTTTAAGATTTGGTGGAAATTTTTTTATTGTGCTCGGAAGATAGAGAAGAATGCCAAACTGAAAAATCTCTAGTTGGGTGGGTGAAAACAAAAAACAGTAATCCCCTTATTTCTGAACCAAATCCATGAAGTAAAGGTGAAGACATTGGCCAAACTTCCTATGAAAATCCAGCTGCAATAATTTCTGAATAGGTCTTCTTTTCCACTCTTGGTAATTGGTATGAACTTTTAATCATCACCCACATTGCCACCTTTCCTTACCAAACAAACAATATATATATACACACACACACACAGAGAGGGATTATATGGCACCATTCTTTCTACACAACCTTTTACGCATTTTAATAGGACTCGCTCGGTAATGTATGTAATAATTCGAACCATTCATGTTTTAGAACATCATTTATATATCATTCTTGCTAAAAATTAGACATATTCAAAACCATTAAAATATTCATTTGTAGTAGAAAAATGAACGAATATGGTTATACACCCTAAACCCTTAATCCAATAGTCATATGATTTCAGATTTGGGTGATTGTTGGTAGACATGATTTATGAATGATGTTCTAAAAGATAGACGGTTCGGATCATTGAAATACATTACAAAGTGAGCCTCACAAAAACGTGTGTCAACAATTATGTAAACAAAATAGTGTTATGAATCCATCCTATACAAACACACACACACACACAAAATTAATCTTGATCCCCATAACCTTAAGTGCGATTGCATGCAGTAAGTAATTAAAAATAGTCCTGTTGCAAAATTGAGAGCTGCTTGGAGTTACATGTATATATTTAACCTAACAAAAAAATAGTCCTATTAATAGTGTTCACAATCATTAAGCTGATTAAGGGAGGACTGAAATGTTGGTTTTGTTGATTAGGGTTAACTAATAGGGCTAATAACAAGTAATAATTAACCAGCAAACTACTAATCACTGCAGCTAATTAATCAACTTGTTGCTTTCTTTGTAGACCCAGTCCAACCATATGCAAACCCCACGATGGACCACGATTTGATGGTTATGCGATCTGAAATATTAATTTGTTCTATATGTTGTCATCTATTATCTATATATATATAATCAGTAAGAAAACTTATAAAGACATTTCAGCTTTCTTAGGCTGATCATCTGATGACTCATCAGCTTTAGGAATCTAACCATGAATGTACCGTGTGAAATACAAACTTGAAATTCGTTCTCAACCACTGAACCAAAAATAAAAAATTAGAATGTTCAGGAGAGAAACTTCTGTGGAAATGATCTACCTATGACTTTAAACTAATAATTCGAAACGCTACAGTGATGGATAACTTGCTTTAGATAAATCATTTCGCGATTGAGCAAGAGGGGTATCACATACCTAATACTTCTTTTCCTAACTTCTAACTTTCTCGATTCACGACTTTCTCACTTCCCACAACACCAGGTGTGTACGTGTACATGTATATTGGATTATATACAAAAGGGAATGAACATGAAGCATGAATTGCTGTGTTGGGCTCATAAGTGAGGGAAAAGGGCAAAGTACAGTACATATACATGGTACGAAAGGCAGGCATATGTCCCCTTCAGTCTTCACATCCCATGTGTTGGTTCTGTATTCTCATGTGAGATCCAGAACCAACCACCAAATCCAAATACAAAACCCACATGATTTAGTATCTCTCTCTACCCTACTGCTAATTCTAGCATGTTCCTCTTTACTTGTAAATGAAAAGTTTTAAGTTCAATTCTCGTGAAAAGTAAATTTGAACCACATTATTGCTAGTCCATTGTGAGGCTTAACCTACTCACCCACCTCATTAGTATAGATAATATTGTTTGTTTAAAAAAAATATAAATTACCTACTCAATACACATATAATTGAGATTTAACATCTAATTTTTTTTAATGTACAAGAAACACGTAATAGTACACTACATGTCATTATACAAGTGATGGAACATATGAAAAATAAAACTTTTCTCCACTTATATGACGACGTGAAATAACAAAGATGTTCTAGGTATACGAAAAAATTTCTTATCTCTAGATTCTAGTACTTTGCTTCTATATCTCTATTTAAGCCAAAGGAGTGGTGTCACATGAACGTCCCTACCCCAATTTTTGTTTGCTCGTGCTCACTTGTAAAATATATAGGTATGTAGGGCAAGTTACTACTTAACAGTTCTCTCCATTTACCCTAAGGAATTCTTATATTCTAGGCCCCCTCCTTCCCCATACTCAAAGTGTGATGCCGAGAATTAATTTCTTGACCCAAAAAACCTGCATACCCCGAGTTTCTACCACACTCATCACGTGAAGTCAAATGACAAGTTTTCTTGTGATGCGTGCTAAAGAGACACGGGGTTATGATTATGAAAGCCATCAAAGGCAAGTTTTACTCTGCAGTGAAGCATTATGTACTGGAAACTCGAGCTTAAACTCTTGAATTTCAAGTAGTAGGGTATATCGAATGCCTATCATCGATATACCCATCATTTCTACTTCAAATGCTATCGTTTCCAAAAGAAGATTATATGTCCTACATATACTAACCACAATTCTAATAGAGGTGGATCCTATTTATGTACACGGAAACAACCTATATTAAAGAGGTGATCGAAAATGTGGCCCAAATAGCAACTATGCTTCTAAATATCGAATTCACAGAAACCTTAACAAAAAAAGTGAAGACAGCAGTTCATCGCTTCCAAGTTATCCAATAGCAGATGCTGCAACAGACGCAAAAGTACAAATTATTCTCGATCCAGGTTCATGACATGGATACGATCATAGCATACTTCACTCAACAAAGTACGCAGAAGCTGGTTACATGTCAAACATACGGCAAAAGCACCAATCTATGAACAATAACGGGTACGGTTTGCCTTTAGAGACATAACCAAATAGATTAGCCGTAGCATCGGATTGGATCATTGCTTCCTTTCTCAGTAGATTGCCTAAAACCAAAACGTCCCCCTTTTGCAAGGTACTGCTGGTGGTACTCCTCCGCTCGGTAGAACTTCTTGGCAGGAAGGATCTCTGTGACAATCTTTCGGTTCACTTTCTTCTGGTGTTGCTCCAGAGATTCGCGTGCTTCCTTCTCTTGGTCAGGTGCATAGAAGTATATTCCAGATCTGTATTGTGTCCCAACATCACCCCCCTGCTCATTACAGATGGATAAACTGTTATGGTTCTTTTCCTTGAGTCATAAGAAAAATATAAATTTTCGATTACGCACAAATTAGAAAAATCAAATCACATAGTAGAATTTTTCTTTAGGAGAATAACTATGACAAATATATAACAGTATGGATTCACTAAGAGAAGGACGAATTATGGGTTCACTAAATAAGAGTTTGATAAATGAAACAGGGAATTATAAACAAGCCAAGTCCTACAAATGATCTTCTATCATGAAACTGAGATCCCATTGACAAACGCTGCTACGTGCAACTCGTTGAAGTCCTGCTCAAGAACTTGTTCTGCTATTTTTATCATTCCCTTCTTTGGTAACTTGAACCCTCAAGCAAAGTACTGGAACCGGCCATGTGTTTTGGTAACTTACCATTACAAAGAAAGTAGTTACAAGAATTCATAGCAATGGGGCATCTTTTTGTTGGGTGTATTACACTACGAGTCTAATGCACTAGGCTTCCCTCTCTATATATAATTTATTTCAACATTTTGGTAGGGCAAACTGAACTTAGAGACCAATTGGACTACGCCTTAATGCCTTACCACGTCGGGCATCCACTCATACAATGTCACATATGTTCTTAATAAATCTAAAACAAACCTGTCTACTATTCCTTTGTGTTCCCCAATGCTTTCTTTAACAAAGAGGACTATACCATTACCAGAACTCTTGTAAGCAGTTAAAACTTGAAAGGTAATAGTTCAGGAGCACTTTATCAACACAAGTTACACAACAGGTGAAGATAACCTCATCGATTGCCCGAAATGGAACTAGTGCACCCTACTTCCGTTTCAAATTTCATCCTCTAACAGGCTTCCCATTAACACCAGCCTATGCCATCTATTTTCAAGAATCTAAACGACCTCAAGTAACTGTACGAACTCAAAGGAAAAATCCAGCAATTAAGCAAACCACTCTAAATTGAACTTAACACAAACATAAAAAGTGTATTGCTAATCGATTTTTCAATAAGATAATGTTTACTCATGCTACTAACTTTCCACGAGTCCAAAAAGAAAGAAGCCAAATTCCTAAAGTGAATGCTTTTAACACTCAACGATGGGATATTGACCGAAGCAACTGCAAGAGGGCTTCTTAGATAAAGTTCCTATCATGACCTTCTTCATTACAATTTCAGATCATAGCGAACATATTCTAGTGAAAACAGTTACTCCTATTTTGGAATAGCAAAAAAGCCTGAAACGTAAAGAAGTACTCATAATCGGAGCATCTAGACAGAGACGTTCAAACATTTGAATTCTCGGTAGTAACTTGATTAAAAAGAAAAATAGCTGCTCTATTAAGATAACAAGTTAACATCAGTTAAATGAATGAGAAAATTAGGATTAACTATTTCAGTACAAGAAATTGTATATTCAGTCACAATCTCCTTTTGTTTGTCATGCTTTTTTTTTAATGCGATTGATAAGTAACTTACAGAGATCAAAACCTCAACCTCTTAAAAAATCTCAATAAAACACACATAGAAAACACCACCTAAAATTCATCAATAAACACAAACGATTATCGACCCAAAGCAATCAAATTTACAAAAACTCGTCCAACCCACAACAAATTATCAAAATTTAGAGCAACCCACCTGGCGATTGAGCGTGGTGGGGTCGTGCCTGGACCAGAAAAGATCGAGCAGGCTCTCAAAGTTGCACTCTTTAGGGTCGTACTGCACTCTCACAACCTCCGAGTGCCGGGTGGTGCCGGTACACACGTCCTCGTAACTCGGGTTGTGCAGAAACCCCTGGGTGTACCCAACCTCCGTCTTCGTCACGCCGGGTACTCGCTGAAACGCCAGCTCGACACCCCAGAAGCACCCGGCTCCAAACTGGGCGAACTGCTGACCCGGCGCCGGAACGTCATCGTCGGGGCCCTGGGCGATAGAGGACGATTCGGCGTTGGGGTAAGCGGTCTTGGGGCCGAAGCCGAGCTTGTTGAGGATGTTCATTTGGGGGGTGCGGAAGGAGATGGTCCTGTGGGTCTGCGGGAAATTGGAGGCGGGTTTGTGTCGGAGTTTAGAGAGAGAAAGGAAGGGGTTAGAGAGGGCGAATTTAGGTACCGTTGCGGTGGTGGTGGTGGAGAATGTGAGCATTTTTGGGTGTGACGTGTTGCTGGTGGACTAAAATGGGAGTTTCGCCCTCCGTAACGTTTCTTTCTTCTTATTTACTATATTATTTTTGTTGGATTTTATTATTTTTATTTTTTCATGATTATTATTTTGATCCAATAATTGAAAAAGAAAATATGCTCATATACACACACCACAGTATTGGCCGTGTTCAAAATATTTACAGAATTGTTGATATTCCAGTTGAAATCTTCGACAACAAGAATCGATATAAAAATGAAGAGTGAAATATAAAATTCAAATGTATCGATGAAATATTAAAAAAAAATTAATAAATATCGACAATATTTACCGATTCATTATATAAATTTTGTTGAAACTCATTATAGATTTCATTTTTTTTTTAATTTCGATTAAATTTAATATGTTGATATATTGCAAATTTTCATAATTCTGTTGAAAATAACATATTGATATCAATATATTCATAAATATTTTCTCAAAAATTTGCATGTTGAAATTTACACCATTTCAATATTTTAAACATTAATAAATATTATTTCATTTTCTCAGGAAAATAAAAATGATGGCTTTTAACAAACAAGATTTCATCAACTTATACGTGTTTTTTAATAAATTAATTTTGTGTTCTAGGAATTGTGTGGCGCCTTCTGGGAGCTTGGCGGGTAGTTTACCCTTACGAGGTGGAACCACGGGAGGATAAGAATCGATAATGAACATTCTCCTTTTAAACAATGTTGTGACTTGTGAGCAATGACTAATGAGCATTACTTTCACAATATCATTTGACTACTTTCAAATTAGGGAATAGATATGCCAACAAAAAAAAAAAAAAAAAAAAAAAATCTCATTTTACAACCTTATAAGTATATTTTTCATTCTAAAAAAAAATTTAAGCGTAGAATGAGAACTTTTGAGTATCACTAACAATTCCTGTAAATTAAGAGCTCGTTTAGATGTGCTTTTAAAATGACTGAAAGCGTTTTTGGTGAAAATGATTTTGGAATCAATTCTTAGTAAAAATGCAAGTAAATCCTAAAAAAATCACTTAAAGTACTTTCTGGAAAAAGTACATAACTGGTGCTTCTTGCAGAAAGCACTTCAAGTGCTTTTGAAATCCAAAAACATTTTCTCTAAAAACGCTTTTAGTCATTTTAAAAGTACATCCAAACGAGCGATAATTAACTTATACTTTGACTAATAGAAGCTAATGAAATTCTGATTTTGTTGGGTGAACGTGAACGGCATGATATTTCCAAAGATACTGCTCCAAAGAAAAGTTAATTTAACTACAAGTTATAATGAATTAGAATTTAGTACTCAAGCATGTACGTCATTGCATTAGTGTGAATCGAATCTAGACATTCTCCAACTGAATAGAAATCTAGTGACGCTAAGCAAACCAGTGGTTCAACTTTTTTTATTCTATCATTTTTTTTTTCTTTTGAACAAGGTTATTCTATCATTTATCTTTAGATTATTTACAGATTAGAGAACAAAACGTCAAAGCTTTGCTTTGGTCATTTGATGTAACCTAAGTTGGTTTAAGCAAAATGACAGGTTGCTGGTGGTGGTTAATACACCTACAGCCAAATACAAGAAGATAATGAAACAATTTATTGTAATTTTGACACGTTTCTTAATTTAATATCAATTGCCCCTCAAAATTGTTCATTTCCTGATATGGAAATAGACAAGCAGAAATCAGCAGACAGATTTGGATTTGGCGAAATCCCCGATTTGTTCTTAACAGTGCATAACAAATTTGGATTTGGCGAAAACCCTCTCAGTTATTTTCCATTATTTAGCTAGTATTCTAAAAATCAGCCTATGCGGCGGAGCTCCGACCCGATTTAGACCAAAATGTTCAGTTAGGCGGGCAGGACATAGTTGGCCTCCTAGGTGCTCACTAGGTGCCTGAGGCGGGCTAGGCGGCGCTAGCGGCAGTTTAGGCGGTTTGAATCTACAACTTCCGATCTCGTACGTAGCAGTAGAGCCTCGAAAAATTTCTATAGCTCGTCTCTGTGAAGATAAGGGAAGACAAAGTGCGAAGAGAGAGAGAGAGAGAGAGAGAGAGAGAGAGGGCCGGTAAATTTTTGCAGCTCGTCTTATTGCCAACGAACTGCAGCTCGTCTGTGAAGATGAGAGAAGAGAGAGCTCGAAGAGAAAGAGAGAGGGAGAGACTAAAACATTTCAGACGGTTTTAATTAAGAAACCATCTACACTCGTCTGTAGAGGTGAGGTGTGGTTTCAAATCCAAGGTCAAAAGCAAATGATTTTAAGTATGAAAACCATGGACAGGTGATGGTTTGAAAACCACCCGAGTGGACGGGTGATGTGAAAGAGCAGAGGTGGGGTGGACGGTTTGAGTGGGTGGGCTTTTTATATTTTTAAAAATTTGGGATATTTATTTTTTGTGTGTGTGTGTGTGTAAATCTTATATAAATTATAAATTATTTAGATAATATTTTGTTTTTTTTTTTCTAGGCAAGCATATCATATATGTACATAAAACATTCACATATGTATGTTCTTCTATAAGAAATAGCATATTAGTCAATAATTATTTTGCATTTGATATAGTAAATTTAATTAATTCATAAAATATATAAAAAATTTATCCAAATCTGCCTAGGCCGCCTAGGCTCCCTTCTAGACCCCGCCTAGACATCTAAGCGCTAGGCGCTAGTCCGCCGCCCGACTAACACCTAGCGTTTTTTAGAACCTTAAATAATAACTTGAATGTAATCAAATCTTAAATTTTGAGAAATTAAAACGAAATTTATTATTATTTTTTCAAAAACCTGCAGGTGCTAGCCTGCTATACATATGCAATATATATTTATATATTCATCACAAATACAACACACTCAAATTGTCACATCCATATATAGCATGGCAGCAATAGACCAAAGATGGCCAACACAAAGGCATTAGGTCCTGCATGGATGAAAGCATCTGAAGTAGGAATGTTGCCCTTAGAAGAAGGGTTTGGAAGGTCGGAACCAGTTGCTGCCTCTGGTGCGCCGATCGGTGCATAATCCTGGTTGTTTTCTACTTCTGCCATGAGCTTCATTCCTCCCAAGCAATATAGCTTGTTTCCACTCACAAAATACCAGTCACCAGGTTTTGTCAACGTGACTGTTGTGTTTCCTCCTGTATAAGTTTCTATAACTTTTGCTGTGTTGCAAGCATCAAAGCTTTCTTTGGTCGCTTGGCACACACTATTAGATGATGAGTACTGAAACCCTGAGAAAATAAACAAAAAAAGGAAAAATAAGTTAAACGGAAGTAATTTACCTAATTATTATTTGTATAATTTGCTTGAAATCAAATCGACAATTTCTTCATCAAATTTTCGTTTTTTTCAATGACCACAAGTAACCAAGGGTATCCAGAGATAAAAGACGTAGAATAAAATTGTTTTTTATATATGCAACCTTTCAATGGGATTATTCAAGACTTGCTCGTACCATTAACAGAAAATAAGATCTTTGGTTTTGAGTCATGGGGATAATGTATGCGTACTTACACAGAACATCGCCGACGTTAAATTTCTTGTCACTGGACCATGAATTGAGGTCGGTGCTTGTGTCCCAGCCGGAGGTGCCCCCAACTGTGTAAATTGAGGCGGAGCTTGTTAATGCAAATCCAAGGACAACAAGAACACAAGCTAGAATTTGAGGCAGCTTTGCCATTGTTAATGTGTGAGATAAGATGAGAAATGGTAAGAGGGAGAAGTTTCATTTATAGAAATATTGATGAATAATTAGATGACCTAACTTCGACTGTGAGAAGGATATGCATTTCTTGCTTAATTCCTTGATTACATATTTTAATAGTACAGACATTATTGTAATCTTATACTTTTTTTGAGTGTGGGAGAGCAATAATCTGCCTTAATTAACTAGTACCAAGTAATTAAACTTAGTCATAAGGTCATGAATGGTAGATGATGACTTAACCAACTTATGTGCTCAAATTCCGGTGTAAAAAATCTCTATATATTCCTCACAAGGAAGTTGGTGAGCAGTTAAAGACCTCCATCTCCAAACCCTCTTTCTGGTGAAGTTTGGCAAAGAAGTATATGGAGATATAGACATGTTTTTTGCTTTGCACAAGAAATTAAGATAGGAAATATTTTTTGCTTGTACGAACACTCAAACAAGTCTTGCAGTTTTCATATTTCATGTGTGAAAAAGTGTTTTAGTTCTGAGAATATAAATTTTACCTTCATGGGAAATGCCCCTCATTGCACATAATTATGATATTCTTCCTAAACTTTTTTTTTTTCTCTCCATTGACAATTTGACCCTAAGATCAATAGACTGCAGCAACTTTTTTTTTTTTTTTTTTTAATTTTTTTTTCCAACAGTCCATGAATGTGGGGATGCATATATCTACTAGGGACCCTCCTCAATTATGTGATTTGTAACAGAAGCAGCAACCAAATGACAAATTGCTGATTCCCATATTCAATTATTTGTGGAAAAAGGGAAAAATTATATGATCTCATCCAGTTGAATTCCCAATTCTTATGATAATGCAAAAGTGGGACACTGTCTTTTAGTGAAGTTGATCTTCTGCTATCAATAAACTATATTGCATCCCATCCCAGTCCAATGTCCAAATAAAAGCACACTTGTTTCTTTTTACAGAAAAAGTATTACAAGAGATTATGGGTTGCATGGTTTGAGTGATGAAGTTGTTAAAATGTGAGTATTCAGCACCCCTTATATGTGCTCGAGTTTTTGTTGAGTGATATTGGAGCATATATGGTCGTAATAAGACCTAAAATATGAATATGTGGCTCTAATAATGTGTTAGAATGTAAACTTTATTAGCAACTAGTGAAGATGTCCAAAATAATTTTAAGCCTTTTACATATGCAACATCCATTTTCAATATGAGAAGCCAAACAATGTAGAAAGTGTAAAAGCGCATAGCTATGTTCATTTGTACTATCATTTTTTTTTTCCCTTCTCCTCGACAATTTGATCCTAATAATGCACCAATTTTTTCAAAATTCCATGAACGTAGGAATGCATTTATCAACTTTGGTACCATAAATAATGGTGTTTTGAAACAGAAAAGTAATGTTATTCATATTATGTTTTTATAACACATTTCTATACCACTTTAGGTGGTATTTAATGTGGACAACCACATCATTTGAAAAATTTGCAAAATCCAAAAAAAAAAAAAAGAGAAAGACTTCTCGTATACCACAATCATCATTTAATTAATTAGTTTTTCTTAACTATTAGTTTATTAAATAATAAACTAAATTTAAAAATCTGATTAATTCAAATGATGTAGATGTCTATATCAAATATCACATAAAGTGATATGAAAATATAATACAAAAATATGGTATGAATAATATTATTCAAAATAAAAGCACTGCACAAAATGACAAATTGATGATCCCCATATTACAGTATACGGGGAAAAATGGGAAAAAGTTAAGATGCCGATCCACGGAAGTCAAGTTTTGAGTTTCGAAATTCCCTTGAAATTGCAAAAGGGAGAAACTGTTTTTTTATTGAAGCAGATCGATAAAACTAGATTGCATCCTATCCTCGTCCAAAGTCCAAGAAAAGCACAACGTTGTCTCATTGGAAAAGTAGTACCAAGATTTAAGGATTGCATTGATTATGTCAAGTGCAACTCTGCAGGATTCCCGATCTGCTCGGAGAGAAAATATAATATGAATTAGCTATATAGCTAGGTGTAAATCCTAGCTAGAATCAAGGAATAAAACATAAATTCCACCAAAAAAAAAAAAAAAAAATTTAGATTAACATATAACCAACGACGAATTCACATAAAGATCAATGTGTAAATTGTTCTTATCGTCTAATATACACATGAAATTGTCTAATGTTCTATTGATTTTCTCATTGTGGACGGTTCTATGGGGCAAAGGCAACTGGCTAGCTAGCCAAAGTGATATTAAGAAAAGTTTTGATCCACCACTATACATTCATATTCTCATTAAGCATGATAGCTATGAGGCAAGTTTGTTGGAAAAAAAATACGTGGGTAACGGCAAGGGAAAAGTACGAAAAATTGTTGCTTCAAGGCTTGTAGAAATATTTCATATGAAAATTAATAAAAATGATTTGAAAACTTTTACTTTTAACGATAAAGACAAAATAAATGGTGAATAGTACCAGGTTTGACTTTTTAGTGTAAAAATGTGATTTTTCGTTAAAGTAAACAGTATCGCAAACTTTTCGTTAAAACTCTCATATTTCATCTTTTAGACACTATTTGCTCCAGTATGTGTGTGTAAAGGGGAATTGCAGATATACTTTGTGACGTATGGACTCCCTGATCCGATGTTCAATAATATCTTGCTTTATCAAAGTTGAATCAAACATTCAAAGAAATAAACAAAAACGCTCAAGATACAACTAGTAATTAATCTGCAGGTCTTAATTGTATAAAAAAAATATTTAATACATATGGAGAAGACTTAATTAGAGAACTGGATGAAGAGAAAGAATGAACAATTATTATTTGAAGGCAGTAAGCCCCTCTATTTATATAGGTTTATTTGCCCTTTTAAAGAGATGTATTTTTCCCACCACCCTAAGTGGTGGTAATGTTTATTACCTTGTGTATCATAGTTGGATAAGTTTCATTAAATTTTGAGATTTGTATATATCTATATTACAAACCTCAAAATTTAAATTCATATAACGATAATAAATAGAATAGTGAACATCACCATTAGTTAAGAGTGGTGAGCAATTTTTTTTTTTTTTTTTAAAGAGGTGCAATGCCTCTTCAAAGATTGGGTCACAACTCTTTGATTAAGAGTTGCCTATTAATGCCACTTAGTACTATGGTTTAATAGTATTTCTCTTCATTTGTAAGTGAGAGGTCTTATGTTCGATTATCGTCAAAGGCGAATTTGAACCACATTATTGCTAGTCCATTGTAAGGCTAATTAAGCCTAACCTCCTTCCCCTTAGTGTATATCATTTGTTAAAATAAAATAAAATAAAATAAATAAAATAAAAAAAAGAGTTGCCTATTAATAGCCATCCGATTATTTGAAATAAATGATCTAGGGCTATTATTTAATTTTGTAAGAAGGCGCATCTGTTCCTTCATAAATCCAAAATCCAAACGGTGGCTTCCATTGAAACATGACAATGGCTGCCAATCAAATAAACGTATTGTGGCTGGAAATTCAATTTCAAATTGATCTCTGTCAAACCGCTTGAAAGGGTTAAGCTGTTGGCATTTGAACCCGCACCGCTTCATCTTTTGCCACTGCTTCGTTTCTCCATCGCTAGTTTTCAATTAATTCATATTTTATGAAAACTTTCCAACAAGGTTTAGTCACAAAATAACTCAAAGACGCCGACGCATAGTTGAAAGCCAAAAGCAACTGCTCAAAATTATGCATGAATTTTCATCATGTTTTCAATAAGGATATTTTTTGAATCCGCCACGTACATAACGTTACATTGTATGAGCGGACATTGTTAATTTAATGAGAATGTGGTTCTGTTCTAGCTCCTTTTCTCTTCTTATCTAGAGTCGAGCTCAAAACTACCCCAATTTAATGAGTAATTTTGGTGGGGGATAAAGGGTACCTGATTCAGTTTCCACATCTGCCAAATTCCCACTTTTCCCAGTCACGACTTCCCTAATTTCCACAACATTTATTTTTCACAAATCAACAAATGTCGTAGTATATTTCCCTTGTTTTGTAGGAGAAATTTTTCGTTATGACCGGAATACGAGGAGTACGTCACGTGTATTTATGTAAGTAATGAGAAATTTTACTTTTTAAGCTATTATCTTTTTAACACACATATTTCACTATTTGTATAGTGACACATAATGTACCACCTGTGTACCGATTACACTGAAAAATCTCTGTTTTTGTAGCCCCAGGATCTCTCAAGATATACACCAAAGCTATTAATCATATTGAGGCAAATGCTTTAGTATCCAAAACTGTTAGTTTGTTATAACAGTAAAGTGTTAGTTGAGATGAGTAATGATACAATATGTAAGCAGTCATAGTTAGCTAAGGGTATTATTGTTCAAAGTCAAGGGCTATATATATACTCTACTGTAATAACATTATTAATCAACGAGAAACATTTTATCCCAATCCAATATCTCTTTACTTTTCTCTCTCTGATTTGTTTTCTTAGTCAGGAAGATATTGGTTTCTACATGGTATCAGAGTCGCTCTGCCTCACGTCGATCGATCATCTTCCACTGTTCAATCGATGAATGTTCATTGATTTCTCTACTGATTTGTCCTTTCTCTCTGTCATTTGTGTTCTGATTTGATCTCTATCAGCCATGGCGTCACCTTCAGATTCATCTTCTCTAATTGAACTGACATTGCCAAACCCTAATTCCTCTCAAATTTCTGGAATTTCTTCTGCTTCGAATTCATATACCTCTCTAACAATTCAGAATATCAGTAGTATGGTCCCGATCAAACTGAAGCGGTCGAAGTATCTTCCTTGGTGTGCCTTGTTTATGCCGATTCTCCGCCGGTACAAGCTCGTCGGCATCATTGATGGCACTGAATCATGCCCGCCGCCGCTCTTGCCTGATCATTCTCTTAACCCTGCCTTCAAACTATGGTATGAAAAGGATCAAAACCTTCTCATTTGGTTGAACTCTACGCTGTCTAAAGAAATTATTTCCTTTATTGTTGGTGTTTCATCATCGCGCGATCTTTGGCTAAAACTCAAGTATCGATTTGGGGGAGTATCTGATGCTCACATTCATCAATTATGCTCTCGTCTTCAAACTGTCCAAAAAGGCTCTCAATCGATCCATGCAACAAAATGAGGAAATTTCTTATTCTTTTGCAGCTGCAGTTCCTGATTGTGATTTAATTGCAGCGATTCTTCATGGTTTACCTAAGGAATTTGAGTCCTTTATTGACTCGATTATGCTTTGAATCTCATTTACTTCCCTAGATGAACTTCATGGTCTGTTACTTACAAATGAGCTCTCTATGGCTCGCCGAAAACAAACTATGACATTCATCACCACTGAGCCATTTTAGGCATTTTCTGTGCAGTCTCAAGCACATCTCCTCCCCACTTATCCACAAGCATTTTTTGTTCAACAGCAGCCTCTGCAAAATTCATTCAGGCATAATTCCAATCGAGGTCACAACAATAATCGTAATTATAACACCAACAGAGGGTTCAATCGAGGGAATTTTTCTTGCAATACCTATTCAGGCAACAATCGCAACAACTTTTCTCATGGCAACTATCAGGGTTCTCGTGGCAATTTTCAGCACTCATCATCTCCCACTAGTTCTAAAGTTCTTTGTCAGATTTGTGGTTCCACCAGCCACGAGGCCAATGATTGCTTCGATCAGATGAATCCTGAGATCTTTGGAAAAGTACCACCTGCAAAATTAGTTGTTTTCTGTGCTCATTACTCTTCTAAATCAAATCATTCTTGGCAATTTGACTCTGGCGCCACATCTTACATAACAAATGACATTGTAAATATCTCAGCTCCTTCTCCTTATACCGGTGAAGATAAGGTTTATATTGGCAATGGTAAAGTTTTGTCCATCTCTCATGTTGGTCATTCATCTTTGAATACCCCTCATGCTTCCTTTAAACTGAGCAATGTCTTATATGCTCTCACATGACTCATAACTTGCTGTCTACTTACCAATTCTTAAAAGACAATAATTGTGCATTATCTCTTGACCCTGATAGATCCACTGTAAAAGATCGTATTTCGAGGAAGATGTTTTTGCAAGGTCCGGTTAAGGATGGATTCTATCTCATTCAAGTATCCATCTCAATACCTACATTTCCTTCAGCTTTCTTAAGTGTCAAAGCTCCTGTCCAAGTTTAGCACCAACGACTGGGACATCCATCTTCATCAATTTTTCGAAGAATCTTGTCTAGTAATAAAGTAGCACTGCATGGAAAATTTGTTGTTGATTTCTTTTGTAATGATTGTGCTCTTGCTAAAAATCACGAACTTCCCTTTTGTGTTTCTAGTTCTTCATCCACTCATTGTTTAAATCTGCTTTATTGTGACTTGTGGGGTTCTGCCTCCAATGTTTCACCTAGTGGTTGTTGGTATTATATGTTACTTGTAGATGATTACAGCAAGTATAGCTGGTTATTTCCCTTAAAAGCTAAGTCTGAAGCTTTTCATACATTTGTTGTATTCAAGTCCTATGTAGAGAATTCTTTTGGTAATAAAATAAAGACTTTGTGTACAAACTTAGGTGGTGAGTTTACTTCTCGTGTTTTTAACTTGTTTCTCCAAACTCATGGCATTCTTCACCAGTTAAGTTGTCCTCATACTCCTGAACAAAATGGTTGTGCAGAGAGAAAGCACAAACACCTTGTTGAAACTGCAAGAACTCTGCTTGTTGCCTCCAAGGTTCCTCATCTCTATTAAGTGGAAGCTTTCTCCACATCTTTATATCTAATTAACAGGCTACCAATTTCTGGTTTGTCAAAGTCTCTATGAGAATTACTCTTTCATAGGCCTCATCAATATTCAAGGCTTAAAATTTTTTGTTGCAGCTGTTATCCCTGTCTTAAACCTTATGTTCAATCAAAATTGGATCCCAAAAGTGAAGCTTGTGTATTTCTTGGTTATAGTTTACAACATAAGGGCTACAGATGTCTCAATCCAACTACTGGCATAATGTATATATCTCAACATGTTCTATTTGATGAAGGCACCTATCCATTTCACAAGTTCACCAAATTATCATCAGTTCCCACTGCTTCCATTAGCTCACCATCAGTTGATTTGCAATTTTATATGTCTATCTCTACAACTCTAGATAGTCCTGCACTTAATCTACCATTCAGCTCTTACATTGGATCTCACAGTGCCTCTTCTACATCTACCTCTACAAACCATCATGTTCGAAGTGATTCCACTACAAATTTATCTGTTTCTGCTAAAAGTATTAGTGATGTCAACACTCATCCTATGGTCACAAGATCAAAAGCTGGTATTTACAAGCCCAAGGCATACTCAGCAACCAAACATCCATTTCCCATTGATCTTGAATATGTTCCTAATACATACTTGCAGGCATCCAGGTATGCTCATTGGAGATCTGCAATGCAAGAAGAATTCAATGCATTGCAATCTACTGGTACCTAGTCTTTAGTCCCTACCTCAGATTCCCAGAACATTGTTAGATGTAAATGGGTTTTTAGAATTAAAAAGAAACCAGATGGCACTATAGACAAATATAAAGCTCGCCTTGTGGCAAAGGGTTTTCATCAACAGGCTGGTATTGACTATCAAGATACTTTTAATCCTGTAGCAAAATCAGTTACAATAAGAGTTCTTTTATCACTTGCAGTACAATTCAATTGGTTCTTAAATCAATTGGATATAAGCAATGCCTTCCTTCATGGTGATTTAAAAGAAGATGTGTATATGGAGCAACTTGCAGGTTTTATTGATCCCTCAAAGCCTCAGTATGTTTGCAAATTGAGAAAGTTTTTTTATGGCCTAAAACAGGCACCAAGGGCATGGTTTGACAAATTATTTCAGATCCTACATACTTCTGGTTTTGTCCAATCTTCTTCAGATGCATCCTTATTTGTTCTCAAATGATCTACCTTGGTAATAGTCCTAGTGTATGTAGATGATATACTTGTTACAAGTCCCAACACTGCCCTCTATCAACCTTTTATTCATAAATTGAGTGTTATTTTTCCAGTCAAAGATTTGGGGTCTTTGCACTACTTTCTGGGACTGGAAGTTCAAAGAACACTTGAGGGTATCTTTCTTCACCAAAGCTAGTATCTCTTTGATCTACTTCAAAAGACAAATATGGAAGGTTCTAAACCTTGCTGCACTCCTATCAGCTCTACCAAACTTGATCACAGTGGTCTTCTTCTGTCTAATTTCACTTATTATAGGTCTATTGTTGGTGGTCTTCAATATTTGACTTAGACAAGACCTAATCTTTCCTTTGCAGTGAATCAACTTTGTCAATTCATGCATGCTCTGAGAGAACAACATATGCAGGCTGCTAAACGAGTTCTTCAACACTTGAAATGAACAATTTCTCAAGGCATTTGGTTTAAGAAAAGTTCTCTTCATCTCACTGCATACTCAGATGCTGATTGGGCAGGTTGTATGTTTGATCGCAGATCCACTAGTGGTTATAGTGTTTTTCTTGGCTCAAACCTAATCAGATGGAGTGCAAAGAAACAAGCTACTATAGCTCGATCATCCACTGAAGCTGAGTATCGGTCCTTGGCACACACAACTGCTGAGCTTACATGGATATGCAAAATATTTCGTGATATTGGCTTCCCTCTCAGTTCTGGCCTTACTCTATGGTGTGATAACATCTCGGATATCTCTCTTGCTTCAAATCCTGTTTTTCATGCAAGAACTAAACATGTCAAAATAGATTATCACTATATTCGAGAGTTGGTTCTTGCACATCTTATCAAAGTTCAGTTTGTTTGTAGTGAAGATCAGTTGGCCAATATCTACACTAAGTCTTTTCCAAATACAGGTTTTGTTACTTAAAATCCAAGCTTCCCATTGGCACTCTTGCTGAGTCCAATATTAGCTTGAGGGGGTGTATTGAGGCAAATGCCTCATTATCTAAAACTGTTAATTTGTTATAATAGTAAAGTGTTAGTTAAGATGAGTAGTGGTACAATATGTAATTAGTCATAGTTAGCTGAGGGTATTGTTGTACAAAGCCAAGGGCTATGTATATACACTCTATTGTAATAACATTATCAATCAATGAGAAACATTTTATCCCAATCCAATCTCTCTCTCTCTCTCTCTCTCTCTCTCTCTCTCTCTGATCTGTTTTCTTAGTCAGGAAGTATTGGTTTCTACAAATCATACCTTGAGAAAGTGATTTTGGACCTGCTTACTGATTTGATAGTTTTGTGCCTCAAATATCTCAGCTTGTTAGATTTTGGACAAACAAAAAAAGGTCCAAGACGGTGTGTATACAAAGTACAGCCAATAGATAATAGCAACACTAAATTGTTTCTATATAAACCATAGCTAGCTATTCTTGCATTTTGCATCAAACCACTACCTCACATTTCTCTTCTTCTCTTTGCATTCTACACTTCGCGAGCTGAGGAAAAGGTAGGGTTAGGGTTTCACATAGAGAGATGGACGACGAAAAAAGTTCAAGCTCATTTTCAATGGGGAAGAGTGCACAAGAGAAAGGCTTGCCACATGTGCCTGAGTGTTATGTGATTCCAACTTCCCAGCGTGCAAGTTTGACTCCATATGTTGTTACTGTTCCCACCATTGATTCGGAAGACTGAAACAAGGCCCTGATGAACGAGCACTTGTCATAGGAGAAGTTAGAACTGCTTGCCGTCAGTTGGGATTCTTCCATGTAAGCTTCTTAAGCACGTCCTTACAATTTTTTATTTTTTTTCATGCAAAATAAAAAAGTAGGTTTAGTATATTGTTCCGTTCAAAAATAAAATGGTACCGGGTTTTTTTTTTTTTTTTTTTTTTTTTTACGGAAAAAAAATAAAAGAATAAAAGATATCGGTATCTTTTAGTTTGTACATGTAGTCACATTTATGCATAGGATGTCCACAATGTAAACACTAACCTTGTTATAGTAATAACAATATTCTTATATGTTATTGACATATATAATATGTTATCTAAGCTCATGCTCAAACTCTTAATTTACTTGTAATTAGAGATTATCAAAGAAAATAAGTCTATTTTACCTGGACAATCGTTCTTTCAAAACCTTCACGAGAAAAACCTCTAATTTTACCACCGTTATCTATATATATTGATGATCTTCATGTTCATGCATCTCATTAGATTGTGAACCATGGTATCCGTCAAACGGTGTTGGATGAGGCTCTTTCGTCGGCGACGGAGTTTTTCAAGTTGCCGGTTTCAGAGAAGGCAAAGTTCATGTCTAATGATGTTCACAGCCCAGTAAGGTACGGGACAAGCTTGAAGGATGGGCTTGATAAAATTCAGTTTTGGAGGGTTTTTCTAAAACATTATGCCCACCCATTGGCAGATTGGATCAAGTACTGGCCTAACAATCCTTCTAATTATAGGTACGTATCAACAAAGTTCATTCTCTTAATCATTTGCTCTCTTGCGTGTCCCGCTTATCTCTTATTTGCTTTGCTATTTCGGAAAAGAATAAAAAACAAAGTAGAGAAAAAAAACATTTGTGGCCGACAATAACCAGATACATCCGATTTAAGACCATGCATGGTATTCAGCTAAATTGTAGTCTTGTCCTATTTTGTCGATCCTGGGTAGATCCTTAACTTGGGCGTGGTTATCGCTCTTCATTTTTTGGCAATCACATTAAATATACAACATGGCCACTCTTTATATATATATATATATAATATATATATATATGTGTAAAGAAAGTTGGAGTTTTACTATAAAATTAATAGGCAATAAGGAGAGTAGCTTGCCCATTTAGGTGTGGCGAATTTTCTAGCCAAATATGTAGACTACACGAATTGGATGACACGGAGCATGTGTGACCGTTGGATTTCACAAGTGGCCTACTTGCTCTGATCTCATGAATAAAGTTTAAGTTCTACCATAAAACCAACAACTAATATGGAGAATGATCAAACCTCTTATAAGCCCTTACTAAATTTCTTCTTTCACCAATGTGAAATTTTTTTATATTCTTATCCTTACAATATATACGTACAAATAACTGTATAGCTTCATGCGTCATCCCTTGACTTCTTTGAATGCTTCATGTTTACCATCATTCATGGAAAGTTTTTCTGCAGGGTGTATATACACACAAATACATATTTATAGATACGTGTGTCTCTAACTTTTATATCACATTGTCATAGGTTGCAATATTGTTAGGGAAACAAAGACCCACAATCACCTGAACTTGTTGTATATGTGTGCTTGGACCCGATTTTACATCATCGGTCCGAGTAATTGAGACCGTTGAGTGAGCATGGTTATTGACCGTCGAATAAGAAAGTTAAGATAATTTTGTTATTGTTAAGAGATAATATTATGATTTTTAATCATAATAATTATCTTTTAATAAAATATCTCGATTTTCTTGTACTTAGAAGCAAGCAGAACAATCAAATTTAATTTGGATTTGTTAGCAGTGTACCGTGTGGATTAGAGCAGCTCAGCCTAGGACTCTTATCATGTGGCATAGCCTTGGATTTGATGGTCTTGGATAATGATGAGATAAGAAGCCTAGGTAGGCTAGGCCTTTTTACATGGTTGATGGATATTGTCAGATGAGTTTAAAGTCCATTGATGGAGTTTTGATGATGAGATAAGAAGCCTAGGTGGGCTAGGCTTCTGATATGATGTGATAAGCCTAGCTAGATAGGTTTTTATTTTGTTTGAAAAGTCACGAATGGGAATGATAGATACAGATCAATCTTTCTTCCTAGAGTTTGAGTTGTAGTTGAACACTATCAGGCCTTGCCAAGCAAATACCAACCCTATAAATACAAGACTTTGTGCATCGAAAAGAGCCTCCTCCAATTCAACACACAAACTACCCTGCGCAAACTTTTCAAACACCTTGAGATTTTTATTTTCTTTTTCTGCCAACACATCTTCAGTTTGGATAAACAACAATATGAAGGCAACTAGCAACATCTTCAGTTTGGATAAACAGCACTGAAGTTATAGAATCAGCTGACCGAGAAGCACATTCAGTTTGGATAAACAGCACTGCTTCGAGACCGACTGGTTATTTATTCAAGTCTCGGTCGACAAGGATTTTGAGTCCTTGTTGGTAGAGGTTATCTCATCAGCCTTCTAGGCGAAGTGAGGTGTTACAGGTTACTACGTTTTGCACATTGAAAGCCGAATTTCATAGTAAACTTCGCAGAACTAGCAGCCTTATCTTCAGGCTCTAGAACCTGAAGGCCGAGATGTGTTCATTCCTCGACCGCTGTCGCAAGATCAAGAAGTTACCATTGCGCCCAACGCGACATCAACACATTCTACTCCTCGGCCGAGCTTGGCAGACGAGTTAGCACGCCCTGCACACAACCGAATGACGTAGTTAGCTTATTAATTACTCGACCTGCGCGCCACTTAAGCGTGGTAGTTTCTAGGGTCAACAATGTGTTAATTGTGGTACATTATATTATGGAACATAGTTTTTATTCATTTATTATTTATTTATTATTATATATGGTTGCAATACTGTTATAGGGAAACAATGGGCAAGTATTGCTCAGAAGTGAAGAAACTGAGCATGGAGATAACAGAAGCAATCACTGAGAGCCTAGGGATAGGTCCAACCTACATAAGCAAGAAAATGGAAGATGGAATGCAGGTTATTACTGTGAACTGCTACCCACCCTACCCTAATCCTGAAATTGCACAAGGGTTGCCACCCCATTAAGACTACAGCTGCTTAACCATTCTTCTTCAGAGCGGCCCGGGACTCGAACTCATGCACACCGGAGACAACAAATGGAAGCAAGTCCCACAGCTTCATGGTGCTCTCCAGGTTCATGTGGGTGACCATTTTGAAGTACTAAGCAATGGATTGTACAAGAGTGTTGTGCACCGAGCCACGTTGAACCGTGACAGGACAAGAATCTGCATTGCTAGCCTGCATAGTTTGGGATTGGAGGAGAAGATGGGCACTGCCAAAGAGCTTGTGAGTGAAGAGAATCCTGGGAGGTACAAAGAAAGCAGCTTCAACGATTTTCTGAATTTTCTCGACAACAATGGTCTAGCAGAAGGGAAGAGCTTCATTAACACACTAAAAGTTGATGAAAATAAATAAATAAATAAATAACATTATGTTAATCTAGCTAGTGCTCCTTTTTGGTCTGTTAACTAGTTTAATTTCTTCTCTATTTTTGGACAAGAGTACGTCAGTCATTTTGGAACAAATTATAAGGGTCTCTTATTATTTCGGAGAAGGGAACTGAGTAGCAGATTCGACGGTTAAGTTAGCTTGTTATGATGGCTGGCTAGTATAGCACCACTCCGAGCACAGTTTGTTGCCTCTATTATATTTGTTATTTCTTTTCTTTGCATGTGTAGCCCCACAAGGCATGTGTTTGGGTATTTCGGAGGTGTCTGATTTTGTACTACTACTTTCCTTGATGAAATAAACATTATCGATGTAACTTTTGCAGCAGATGATCAATCTTTTCTTGGGTTAGTCAAGCTATTATTACTAAATAAAAAATTGGTCGAAGAGCTTGATAGGATTTTTACCACCTATAAAAGTAAGGATAAAAACACTTAAAAATACTTACAAGAGTACAAGGTTGTCGTAGTATAGCGGCTCAAACAAGATCATTTTCCACATGAATTGAATGAATAATTTCTGTTTAAAACCAACTATTTTAAAAAAAAGTTTGGAAAATGTTGATTTTAGAATTTAATACAATAAAAACGAATTTTAAAATAAAACAATTAAAGAAATTAACTAGAGAACAATTTAAAGAAAATCAATTCGTAAAAGCCTAGGGTTCCACCGTCCCTTAACAATCCTATGCAATTTTACCAACTACTTATGAATTTCTACATACATGCTTTGAAGGTTAGGTTTTCCTAATACATATTTTCCTTGTGATTTTCAAGGGAAAACGTATATCTAACATACAACCCGTTTGTGATGTTCAGATCAAATATAAACATGCAAAACTCATTAAACTTTGTGAAAACCTTTGAAAAACCATGCAACCCTTAAGAGCGTGATGCTTTAAGTGAACTTACAATTACTAATCACAAGAAGCCCTCCTCAATTTCAGGCTGATGTTCCAACAAAAATTGCATCAAATTACTTGTCTAAAAACACTAATGGTCACGAATCACTAAGACAATTAGATAGTTTAATCGTGGTGATTAATAATTCAAACCAAGCATGTATCCATTCATAAGCAAATTAATAAAATTACATATTCATGCTAAGGTTCATGGCTTCGCCCTAGCAAACGGAAATTAGTTACGAACAACTATAAAAAAAATTATTATTGAGAATAAGGATAGAAAACACCTAAAAATTAAAACTTGAAAAACTCTCTAAAGTATGCGTCCGTTCTCCTGCTCTCCTTCCTTCCTCAAAACCCTAATGGCTAAATATCTTTATTTATACTACTATAAAATAAAACCCTAAAAGGTCTTAGAATAAAACTAGGAAACATAATAAAATAATAAAACAGAAAATAAAAGGTTTCCTATTTAAACTAAAATTCAGATTTCTCAGAAAATCAAACTTTTGACCGACCAAATCAACTCTAATTTGGTTCCAAAATGTCTCTTTTGAAAGCTGGAGAAGGAATCTTCTACAAATTATACCATCTTGACCTCCAAAATACCCAAAACGTTCAAAAACGTCAATCTAGAAAAGCTGCGCGCTAGGCCTTTATTTCATCGCAACAGTCAAATGGCTTCGTAGAAAAATCTGAAACTTTGACACAATCATCTTTAAAGGGGCACGAACATCCTCCAATTGAAATCACTCCAAAATTCATCCGTTTGATCACTTTTTGCTCCAGAGGAAGTCGAATGTCGTACATTGAAAATATATAACAAAGTATCAATATTCTACCAAAATAACTAATAAACTATAACTAAGAATAGGGTAAAATATATGGTATAATATTGACTCATCAGAGCTTATTAGAATTAATGGCTGATGAGAGTTGTTTTTCTACACTTTGTCAGAAAATTGAATAAGGATAAAAATGTAGGGTGCGTGTAGGAGTGCACAACAATTTTTCATAATATCAATAAAAATTGTATCATTTTTATATTAAAAACGTTTTTACACTGTTTCTCATACTCATCACTTTTACAAATCTTGTTTATCAAACGCTCAAATGCATTGTTTTACAGTTCATTATTATTATCATTAAAGCACATCAAAAATAAATTTTTTTTTTTCAATAAACAGCAATCCTAAATTGGTCCTGAATAAAGATAAAATCAGTGGCAATCAATTTGTGATGCTCAAAAGAAAAGGACAACCTCAAATTCAGGAGGTGGAAATTCAAATAAAGAAGATTTCAGTTTTGCATTGCTTAGTACTACTAGGTCCACCATACGTACCTTTCCATCCCCATCTATAGATAAAAGATAGAGATCTGCATGTGGAACAAAAGAAAACAAGGACATAATATTGCAGTCAAAATAGTGATCCAACAAACTAGTTCTGATCCCAAATCTTAGCCGTTTTTCTTGACCTAAACTTTTCTTTGCTCTCTCCTGTCTCATTCTTGCAAACTCACTGAAATCAACATTCAAGTATCTCTTCGTTTCCACGTACCAAGTTAACTAGTGAAAGAAATTAGTGAAGATGCATAGATCGGCAAGCTGGAGCCGGGTGGCGGATGAGTACTTCATGCACTCAACTTCATCGCCGTCAGCAGGGAAGGGGCCGTCAGGGCTGCGAGTGTCTGTGTCGTTTGATCAAGGCGGAGATCTGCCGATGTACGATCCTATAGCTGAGTTGGCCAAGAAGGAGAGGTCTCGCGTTAAGTTTGCTGAGAATGCTGTGCATGTCATCCCCTTTGTGCTTCTTTTTTGTGCTTTTGTTCTTTGGTTTTTCTCTAATCCAGGTAATAATTAATTGAAACTAAATAAAACTATTTCTTTTATCTTAACTGATCGTCAATCTAGTGTAGCATCTGTCTGTCTCTAAGAACAGACATTTTTATTGATCATATCTCTTAGAGAGATGATACCTACACTCAATAATGACTTAAAGATGATACAAATAAAAGTCGTTCTGATTGAATTAGTGTTATTTAATTTCATACGTACAATATTTTAGAAATTGGTTTAGAAAATTACTTATTTACATGTTAATTGTCTCATAGATTTGCTGGTGTTTGACTTGCAGATGCATATGTGAGGATTAAAACGGATCCAATAGCTGCAAGAATAGAAGGGCTGACGTTGGAGGGAGAGATTGAGAATGATAGTGACGGTACTCAAACAGGCGCTCTACCCTTTGTGGATTTGGGACTAGATTTGGACCCAACAACAACAAAACAAACCAGGGATAGATTGAAGAGATTCAAACATTAATAAATTAGATAATATATTATTGCTTACATTAATTCTGTGGACGTTGTGAGAATTTAAATGAATAAAGTGGGAAAAAAAAAGTTGAGGTTTATATATTTTTCTGTTGTTAATCATGAAGTACTTCTTTTTATTGATATTTTCATCAATTCGATATTTGCACGTTGACGTGATGAAAGAACAAGAGTTCGATACAATCCCTTCATTAGAATCGCTTTAAGAGTAAACTAAACTAATTGAAATTGACCTCTTGAATTACTTTTTTTAGCAAATTAACCCTTGTTGAAATTCTATCCACTTTGCCATCAAATACTGGTATGCGACCAACACGTGATTCACTTTTGAGGGTTAGAGTCGTGTCAGTATTTGACGACAATGTGAATGAAATTTCATTGAATCGGATGGTGAGGGGTTAATTAGTTGATTTCAAATAATTAGTTAATTTATCAAAGTATAATTAAGAGGATCAATTTTAACTAATGTAATAATTAAGAGAGTCAAACGAAAGTTTACCGATCGTTTTAATCCAGCAAATTACATAGGTGTCCGTTCTAAATTCTAGTAGTTACGTTGACAAGATGAAAGAACACGAGGTCAATCAAAGTCTTCATTGGTATCGATTTAATCCAGGAGATAAAATATCTGTCCGTACTAAATATTTTGTAAAAAAATTGTCATGAGCTAGTGGGATGTCTCTTTTGAGTCAAGAAACAATATAGCAGCTGGAAAAGTCAATACGAAGCTTTTCAAAACCTTTGAAAATAATGCAAATTAATTTAATTTTGTTTCCTTTTTCTTCACGTTGGACAAAATTAAATCCTGAATATATCATGCTCGTAATATCAAGCAAAGTTTTATAAAATTTTGTAACTCAAAATAATTAGTGGTAGAATCTTGTGTTATTTTCATTCTAATTTTAGTCTCGATATGCTAACTATTAAGATGTAAAAAATTTATTTTAAGACTTATGATTTAGAAGTTTTTGGGTCAAAGGTAAAATTCATTACCACAAAAACAAACATACAGAAGAAGTCCAATTACATTGAAAGCACTCAACTAAATAATGGACCCAACGCAACACTAAAACAGAGCCCAACCAAAAGTTTGAGCCCCCAAAATATACAAACAAAAATCAAGAAAGCCTAGCAACTCTGTCGCTGCCGACCACAAGCCAACGTCACATGCGGGACCGGAGATCCAACCGAACAAAGGCTCTAAATTGTAAAAGGAGGACGTTCCACCATCCGCCACCAAGCACCACAAAGTCCAAATCTGCAACGAACAAGTAGAGGAAGCCAGTGGAAAAAACTTCCCACAAGCAATAGTGCGAACTGCACATAGATGGAAGGTGGTGGTGTGTGACCACCCAAGCACCAAGCAGGAGTTGGATCGATCATGTAGATGAAAGTATATTCATTGACACTCTTATGTGTCTTATCCACTGCAAATTTACAATTAACAGGCAATATTTGGGATGAAGTGTCTCACTACGTCATATGTTGGACAAGTATCATAATCACATGAGATTTCGTTTGTCCTTATCAAACCTGACTTCATGCTAATTTAATATGATGTGAGAATTGTTCTAATTAAATAATTCAATCACATTTCTCTTTTCATAATGGGTCAAGGAGTATATTATAACTAAAGAGAGTACTTGGGCCACGGGGCCATGCCCAACACATTAGGTGTGGGCACAATTCGGTTTGGTGCAGTTTTAGAGTGAATTCGAAACCAAAATTAAATTTTTTTACAGTTCGGTTCGGTGCGACTTTGAAACTTAAACCAAAATAAACCAAACCATTTGGTGCGATTTAGTTTGGTTTCAAACAATTTTGATTTCGATTTTAAACTATTTGAGGGAAGAGTAATAGTACATTCAATTGCGCTTACAGAAATTAAGATTTAAAGAAACAAGGAACAGAATAATACAAAAACTGTATAAACAAATAACAAAATTAAAAACTAAATGCAACTATGCAAGAGATAACAACAAATCAAACAAGTAATAAGAAAATACTTTTTTCGATATTCTTTGTGTTTGAAGTTAAACAAGTATATCCCGTCACGTGTTGCTCTCCACACCTACAATCAACTTCTTCGCACTCACCAATTGCAGAGCCATATGCATCGAAGATTTTATAATTTAAAATAATTCACCCCAAAAGCGATTAGGAACTAGTCATCTTCCATTTGTAGTGCGGTTAGATTTTGGTGCGATTTCAGATGTTTAAAATTGAAATTAAAGGTTTTTTTAACTAAAATGATCTATGAGATTTGCATAAATTTTCACTGTCCTTAAGATTTGAAATCAATACAAGTGGTTCCTGACATTGTCCACCATCAATCATTTTGGTCTTTCCATGAATAGTTATGTTAAATAACTATTAAAATGACTAAACTACCCTCAATTTAATAAACAAAAGGCCAAAATGATTTGATAAAATTTGAGGGTATTTTTATCATTTTATCCTTATTTAATGGAGATTTTTCACGGAATGACCAAAGTGATTGATGATGGATAAGCTCGGAGACCAATTCTATCAATTTCAAATCTTAGAGATCAAAATAAGGAGTTATGCAAATCTCATGAACCATTTTAGCTAAAATATCGAAATTAAATTATTTTTTCAAACTACTCTGCGCTTTTAAATTGAAACCATTTCAAAACCACAAGAAGCGACTCATTCGGTACTATCCGATTTAATTAGTGTTTCAGTTACAATTTCCGGTTCCAAACGTCCACCCCTACACCGCACAGCAGGCATACTAGTAAAAGTTGTACAACTGTAAAAAACGTCTTTGGCTTCAAATTTTCACGCGTTAAATATAAACCGAACTTTTCGGTTTCATCATCACTTCGTCATTTTTCCAGTTCCCCCTTTCCTCCTCTCTCTCTTCTCCCACTTGCCTTCCCCGAACCTTTTCCTTCCGAGAATCCGACCTGGTCCAGATTCTGTTCTCCGTGGACCGGTCCAATCCCGGTCGAGTTCTTCGTAGATCAACGACTCACAGTCATGAATCCTGAATAGTAAGCCTCCGATCACCTTTCCCTTTTGTTTCCAATTACGCAAACTTTTGCCCCCTTTTGCATCTGAGTATTTTTTACCATTAAAATGTTAGGAAAAAATGGGTTTTTTTTTACTACTTTCCTTTGATTTCGACGAAAACAGACTGAAGTTTTGATCTTTTCTTTAGATCCATGATGATTTTGTGCTAAATTGTAATGGGTTTGTGGTCAATTTTGAAACCCTTTAGAAAAGTTAGTTAATTTTGTTGGAATTCTGTTTTTTTGCTTTTGAAAATTAAGAAACTAAAAACCCAAATATTGGATTTGTAGTTATTTGATTTTGGTTTTGTCTCAGCTTTTAATTTTGGATCACTGAAACCAAAAAGAAGCATCAAATTATCTTAAGATCTTAAATTGTATCTTGGATCGTCGTGTGGAGATTAATTGGTCAGCTAAGATGTTGATGCTCAGCTAGTTTTTGGGCTCAGCCAATGCAATTTTATTAAATATAAATTACATGTGGTTAAACCAACAGGGTTAATTGGTAGTTTGCAGCTGAACCTGTTGAATTCAGATTTAAAAGTATTGCTAATGAATGATTATGTTGGAATTTTACCTGCTGCAGTGATTATTTGTTTAAACTTTTGCTGATTGGTGACTCTGGGGTTGGAAAATCATGTCTTCTTCTGAGGTTTGCTGTAAGTTGTTCGTACTTTGATCAAATTTATATGGATCTCTTTGCGTGATTCACTGTATACATTGTTTCTTGCTTAAAAGGAAATAAAATGTATGCTTTGTTTCTTGAATCAAGCCTTTGGGGTTAGCTCAAGCGGCGAGGGAGGGAATGTAATGGGTTACAGCAAATAGGATAGGCCCAGGCTTCAAATCCCTCCAATGTAACCATAAAACAAATACTTGATTACTCTAAATTTTCTAGTATAATAACGTATGCATGATTTTCTCTATCATATCAGACCTATTAGCGAATGTGTCATTTTATGCGGGTTTGTATACTAATTATTATTTGCTTTTATCAACTTTGATAATCCCAACTGACTTTTCAATTTAGACTTTCTTGTTCTTGAGCTTCTGAAGCATAGTGTAATATGGTTAATCATTTCAGGAGCTGACTTCATCAATATCAGTGCTGACCTTTTGTCTCTCTATGTATGATACAGGACGATTCATATCTGGACAGCTACATCAGCACAATCGGAGTTGATTTTGTAAGCTTTATATTCGTGGTCTAAATAATGTTATAGGAGATACGGCTGTTGATTGTTTTTCTTGTCCTTTCTCTGTAGAAAATTCGCACTGTGGAGCAGGATGGAAAGACCATTAAACTTCAAATTGTGAGACCCTCTCTATCTCTCTGAAATATGGTAGTGCGTGGGGTTTTAAGCCATTTAGTAGTTAAGAAATAGAAAAAATTAGTATTCGGTCCTAGTTACTAATGTTCATTGACTAAGACCTTATTAGTTTTCAAATTTTGATTGAAGTTCCTAGCATTAATGTGATAATGAATTTACATATTTTTTAAAATAAAAATTAGTAATTGATTTAGGGTTTTAATACTCACACCACTATTAAACTCCTAATTAATTTTCAATAAACATTTCCAAAAATAAAAATTAATAATAATTAGAATAAGTTTGTACTCATTAGTTTTTTATAAAACGATTCTCAATTTTTTAATCTTAAATGTATCCATTCATATAATCTTCAACTTTTTTAATCTTTAATGTACCCATTCTTAAATATACCAATTTGTTATATGTAAAATTTACTATTTTTTTTAACATAAAACATACAAATGTTTTATATAAAATATACCCAAAATTTTAATATGAAATCCATTAATTTTTTTTTAATCCATTTTTAAACTTATATGGGTACATTCTTTTTCGTTGATTTGAGAATGTATCTATGTCAAGTTTAATCAAGGAAATTTGCTAATGTTATTAAGCCTAATATCTTCTTTTTTTCTGTGTTTTGAAGAATGTACCCATGTTTTGGTACAATAATTTTTTTTGTTAATTTTGATGAACGTACCCATATTTACTTACACACACACACACACACACACACACAAAATATAATAGAGAGTGTAATTTATATTTTATTATTTTTAATCCCACAAATTATGGGTTATATTTAAAATCTCATTAATATAAACAAAAACAATTTTCAATTTTTATTTTTAATTTAAAAAATATAGTAATTTACACTATTACATTAATGTCAGGGACCTCGGTCAAAAACTAAAAACATACAAGATTTCTGTCAAAGAATATTGATAATTAGGGACCGCATCCAAATTGGCCGGTTCTTTTTTTCATTTGATCTCTTAAGATACTGATTGGCATTGTTTTCTTACTTTCTTCATGTCCTCATTTCTCAAATCATATGTTTTCTCTTGTTTAGGAGTTGTGTTACTGGTGTGGTATGTGCGCCTTTTCAACTACATTCAACTATTTTTGTAGAACTTCATATTGCATGCGGTTGTTATGTGTTCACATTTTGTTGATTCTTATGAATAAATATGCACTATTCTGACATTATTATTGGGCTGAAAACTGAGTTCTAGTGCATATTCATAATGTTCTCATCTTATTAAACATTGTTGTTTAGTCAATCTAGCTATAAGACTATCTGTGATATTTTCCCTTTCCCCTCTGGGCTCTGGACATGTAGTGGGACACTGCTGGACAAGAACGTTTTAGGACAATTACGAGTAGCTACTACCGTGGGGCACATGGAATTATAGTAAGTTTGCCTTTTTTTTCTTTTGTTTTATGTTTTTATTATTGCGGTATTGGTTTTTCTTGAGGTCTTGTACTGTGGATTCTGTTTATTAATGTTGGTGTATGTTGCAGATAGTTTATGATGTGACGGACCAAGAGAGCTTCAACAATGTTAAGCAATGGTTAAATGAAATTGACCGTTACGCTAGTGAGAATGTAAACAAGCTTCTTGTTGGCAACAAGGCTGATCTGACCGCTAACAAAGTTGTGTCTTACGAAACAGCTAAGGTGAAAATTTTGTGAACCTCCCCCTAGTTTCTGTTACCATATTTTTGTCTAATGGAGTAAGCACTAATCATTTAATCATGACCTCCCTGTTGACTCGCTGGTTTTTCAACAGGCATTTGCGGATGAGATTGGGATCCCTTTCATGGAGACTAGTGCAAAAAATGCTACCAATGTGGAGCAGGCTTTCATGGCAATGGCTGCTGAAATCAAGAACAGGTACTTTTGCACTGTCGTGTATATGTGTGTTTTCCTCTTTTTCCGCATTATAAGAAGAGAAGAGGTTTAATTGAGGCGCAAGGTGTGCACAATTTACTGCATCTTTGAGTTCAAGGATTTATAATTGACCCATCGCCGCCCACTCATTTCCTTCACATCACAATGCAGGATGGCAAGTCAACCGATGAACAATGCAAGGCCGCCAACAGTGCAGATCCGAGGACAACCCGTCAACCAGAAATCTGGCTGCTGCTCGTCTTAGTTCGATGCTGTTGCTGATCTTCTGTGGCAGGAGTGCATGTATCGGCTTCTCGTCATTCTTCTAGAAACCGCAGGGGACTATTTGTGCCGCCTTAAACCATATATCACGACTTTGCTTGTCAGTAATTCCATTCTTTATAGTCTGTTAACTGGTATGTACAAATGATGTCTGGTGCTCAGCTACATTTCAAATTTATCTGGTTTCTTCTGTTTAAAATGACTCGTTGAATTGTTCATGTGGATGCTTAAAGGAAATCTATACGTTTCTGATGTTATTATGTATATGGCAACTAGCCAAGTTATAGTAACTTGAGATAGACTACTCCTTGAGATCATATTTTTCTTCAGATGCCCCTTAATTATAAAATGGAGATTTATCCCAATTATTTTTTGTCAATTTACATGGCAAATGATAAGGCTTACCTGTCAGAAGTAGTGCTCAAGTCTTAACTAGTTAGTAAGATAACACGATACTAATTATTTTTTTGTTTTTTGTTTTTTTAACTAAAGATATTATCTATACTAAGAGAGTCTCAATTCGTGTTTGACGAGAATTGATTCTAAAATCTCTTACTTACAAGTGAAGAGGAATATCACTATATTATAATACGAAGTAGTTATACTAATAATCAATGTCCTTTTAACTTACCAGTCAAAAGTAGTGCTCAAGTCTTAACTGGTTAGTAAGATAATACAGTACTATTACTAGTTTAAATTAATAATTAGTGTCTATTAACTTACTGACTGGCACACTTGTTGCATAAAAGAATGCCGCAAGCTAAGAAAAGTAATCTTATTTACGTTCATATTATCTTTGAATTGGGAAGGAAAAGTTACAACAACAAAACAGATGGTATGGCCAACATTGTTCAAAACATAATAAAGAAAAACTCTGCAGAATTCAAAAGCCACCCCGCCACGGCAGGCGGGGTTGGTTCCTCTGTCGTCGCCAGGGAGCTCTTAGGGCGGAAATCTTAGGATAAGTTGCTAAACAAACGAGAGGGGAGGATCGACCCGTTCAGTATAATTATATCATCAACAGAACATCAAAAAGTGGGACTAATAAAAACTCTTTCCGCATTTTACAATTGTGCACCTCTCTCCATGAATGATTCGACTGAATCAACTTAATTCATTATTCTCGTAATTGTTTTTCCACTTTTAGCTTCTTGTGAATCAAAATTGTAAAAATTTGAAAAATTAAGCTGTAAAAAAGTAATTTTCTATGTGACTCTGATGGCACCAGAAGATGAAGGGGGAGACAAGCTTGCCCCTTGAGAAGGCTGAGGCTGCACAATTTTAAGCTCTAAAGCATCTTTCTCAGCTGCTGACGTCATGCTGGTGATCGCCATGGATGGACTGCTTGGGAGGGACCTTGGTGACGATGGGATTCCAGAAGGGTGAGAAATTACAGGAGCACAAGTTGGAAAGTGACCATGGTTTTTGATCATGTGGTGGTAACTTGGTCTGTAAAAGTGCGTCATTGGGGCGTTTGGGACATTTGCTGGAATTCTCATCTGTTCAAACATGAGCAAAATCATCATACATGAGTTTGACACTTTGATTTAGAAAAAATAACTTCAAATGGAAACAAGCGCATTTCACTTCAAATCATCATACATCTGTTGTATTTCTCCTTCTCATAGTTTCAAATATATATACCCAGATACAGAAAAGTTTAGGGGTTAGGAAGGCTACCCCACTCCAGGGTCCGGACATACCACAAGTCTTTTTGAGGACTTACAAAGGGGTCTTAGCCGCTTTTTTTTATTTTATATTCTTTTATATTTTTATAGATCACACACCAAGAGAGATTCTTAGCAACAGGACTCGAATCTAAGTCTTAGTCTAGCGAAGAGAACGATCCTTACCAACTCAGCCAACCCTCGTTCACTTCAAATATATATAGTCTTGTAATATTGTAAGAAACAAACTCATGGATCAAAGTGTAATTGCAACCGACAATTGGACCCAACATTAACAGTTAATAGGTGAGTGATTTTTGTTCTTTCTATTGTGCGGTTCTTGAATTATTTGTCCCTAATGGTAACAGTTGTCACGGGGATCACACTGATTCAGTAACACTTAAAACTAGGTTCACATATAATAATGGGGAAAAGGCAAAAGGGTTCTTACCATAAATGGCATGGCAGGGTAATTTGGAAGAGTGCAAGTTGGAGACAATGGAGGAGCTGGGGGGCTATCCAAGCACAGATGTGGGAATCTGTTTAGAATCCGAGTTGGAACGTTGCTAGCCGGTGGTGAGTTGTTGGCTGTATTGATTTTCAGTGGCCTAGTTTTAGAGCTGCTAGCCTGCGGTGAAGTTTCATCAGCTGACTTTGTAGGTGAAATTGAGGAATCTTGAGGACCCTGATCCTGCAAATCCCATCAAAATCCAGTCATTGATATGATCTAATTAGAATGCACACTACCATTGTAAAAGAAATTTGCATAAACAGAACCTGTCACAACCTTTTAATCGAAAGCCGTATATAAGTTAGGATTTAGTGCTTCTCTATTGTCTGTTTAGTGTCATTCCAATTTTATTTCTGATAAAAATTCGTAATATGTTCTATTCGTGCATATTTTCTCGGAAACTGCACACTACTTATGTGTGACAGTAGGAGAGAGAGAATTACAGAGAGTTCCTTAAAGTGCATGTCAAAGAGGCTTGATCTGCGTTTCCTCTTATCATTTGTAGCCTGCCTGAGGAAATACTTCTGTGCATGACTAGCAACCTGGGTTGGGGTTCTTGTAGTCACAAAATTTCTTGCTATTCCTCTCCAATCACCTTTCCCAAGCTTCTTCAAACCAGCTAGAAACACTCTATGCTCTTCCTCAGTCCATGGCCTTCCTGAAAATATTCATTTCAAATTCAGTCAAAACCAAACCTGAAGAATCTAAATGCAATTACGCTAACTTACGGAAAATGAATTTGGACCTGAGTGCAACAGAGCAGACACACTGTCCTGGGCAACTGATTTGACCTAACCAACATCTCTAGAAGAAAAAAAAGGCTATGTTTGGAGATGCCGCCTTAATCGTGGATTATAACAAGGTGCATTGTTTAGAATTCTATTTACTTCTAATTTTCTTACAAAATTAATATGAAAAATAAAGATAAGGGGAAGAAAAGAGTTTTACGCTTCATAAAGGGAAGAAAAACACCAATGAATAACAAAGCAGTCACACATGCATTCCTCCTAACAACACAGAAGGGAATTAAATCAAACAGCAAACAGAAAACCTAGACACATAAAACCATCAGTTGGAATTGATGAAACTCTTAAAAACAAAAATGTACCTTTTTTTCTTTCATGGGCGGCCTTGTGCCGCTTGTTATGAATGAGGCCATCGGAGAGGTAGCCGGCATCATGATCAGCCACAACAGCGTTGTTGTTGTGGTCTCCGGTGCCGTCCGCCAGCAGATTCCCCATGCTGTAACTCTTCTTGATAGAATCCTCCTCTTTCTCCATAATGTTCACGCCGAAAAGCTTCAAGCAAACCCCTTTATTTCCATGGCCGTGGTTGCACGTCCTCGAGTTGTGGCCATTGTGACCACAATGCGAATACTTTCGTGCCGATTCCTTCACCATAATTTGCAACCCTTTTCTCCTTGATATCAATCCAAAAATCTTCTAGAAAAAAATAATAAAGAAGATGATGGATTTGATTGCTTAGATATTGATTTTATGGGTGAAAAGAAGAATGAATTTTAGTTCTTTTTCTCTTTCGTGCAGAGGAAGGTATACAAGTATTTATGGGGCGTTTAGTTTCCTTTTCTATAAAGTCTATAACAATCCAACACATGCACTCTAAATTTCTAGAACTTTTTTCGCAAGGGGCTTGTAACTCAGTTGAATAAGAGCATTCATTCATGCACTGTAGGTCCTTCACCACTAAGCTCACTTAATTTCTTACTAATTTTCGCTACAAAGGCTACCAAAAAGAAGAAGTGAAAGTTGAATCGAGGGTTGTGATTGGTTTACTGGCGGGTCAATGAAATTCTTTGATTTTTTACTTCAATGAGTAACTGGCACGTGGAAGTGCTCTCCCAATCCTATGTGAAGCTGGTCTTACGCAATTGTATGTGCCTCTCTGGAAAGTCGGTGCGTATTCTTGGTCATTGCTACTAATTTTATCTTTTTATCCAAAAATAAAGGAGAAAATGAGAAAAAAAGAAGAATTAAGTTTTCCAGCTTTTTTGTCGATGCTGGTCAAACTTCAATTTTAGATTATCTAATTTGGGAGATAAATATTCAAATTCAAAACAACTAATCTGGATTTTAATTCGAGTCTACTCTGTGAAATTCTACAGAGAGGTTAAAAGCTACATGTTCTGTATTACGGTCTGGTGTATTAGGTTCGAATCTCGTGGATGGCGAATTCAATACCAAATTAGGCTGCCTATTGTGTAGCTTAACCGAACTTCTCCTTCCCTTAGTGTAAAAATATCAATGTGCTCAAAAAGCTACCTGTTCCGTATGATGTTGGGACTCAGTGATAAAACCAGTTGGACGGTCAGGATTTGTTGACATTTGGTTTAGTTTCAACTTACAAGCAATCTGGTCCGTTTAGATGTAACAAAAGGCAGTGCGGTAAATCTGATCAATAAAAAAGGTGGTCTGGTAAAGCGTGCTCAAATGCGGTTAATCTGCTTATCATACTAATTATTTAAAGCTGGTCATTTGTTACTTGGATGCCAAGTTAATGACTTATAGATAACATAAAAGATATTTAAAAGGAAGAAGTATTGTAGTTTGAGTAATATTGCAAGTGTTTGTTCGAAGAAAAACAAAATATTCTACTAATATGTACTTTCAATTTTGTTAATTCTACCTTTGTGATTTACTCATATTTCCAATTTTATTCAAATATTTTTTATTTTTTTTTATCAATTTGTATAACTTGGCGATCCACATGTAGGAGAGATTTTTTAGTAAATGCTCGTAATATGAACACATACGTCATATGTCCTTATACAAGTGAATGGTACACTTGAAAATAAAAAAACTTCCTTTTACTAGTTGTATAACAACAGATGACATACAACCCCGTGTTTGAACACATTGAAAAATCTCTCCACATATGAGCCATGTGATGCACCTTTTAATATTTTTGTATACCAAATTCACTTATCAATTTTTTCTCGTCAAACAACTTTATTTTGGTCAACAGAATTTTTTGGTGAACAATTTTTTTTTTTTTTGGGTCAACAAAATTCACTTGTCATTTGGAATAACAAGATTTAATTGTAAGTAAACCTAAACAACTTGGTTGTAACTCCCTAATTTTGCCCAAAAACACGATTTAATTGTAAGTAAACCTAAACAACTTGGTTGTGACTCCCTAATTTTGTCCAAAAAGTTAGTGTTTTAGGGCTTTGAGCTGACCTTTTTCCAGTCCAACAAAATTAAGATAGATTTGTATATGAAAGGGTTATAATTCCCTTGAACCTGAAACGCACAAGACACCAAGTAAACTGATCGACTTAAACATATGAACAAACACAACGAACCCCTTAAAAATAAATTTATAGATACAACTTTTAAGTTGCTACTTTTTTGGGCATGATGTCTAAATCGTTATCATATATCTCATTTTAAAGTATCATTAGATTAATAGTTAGCTAATCAATTTGAGACTTTTTTAAAAGTAAAACTCTTTATGGAGTCTATGTCACTTGTCATTCTTTACATAATGTTTTATATTTGCTGACACAGAATTACCCTTAAATTTTAAGGAAAACTAATGAAAGAGGTTTGACAAATTTTAAGGTCTTGAGAATGAAAATATTCTAGCAATGGAGAACACAACTAAAGATAGATGGAGAGCTTATTTTCATAATCTTTTCACAATGAAGGACACGGAATGAGAATTGAGTAACTCGGAAGAGTGTAGAAATTAATCATTCTACTAGCAAATCAGGAAAGGATAAGTGGTTGTAGCTTTGAAAAAGATGAAGCATAGTAGTAGGTCCCGAAGATATACCATTTGAAGTGTGAAAGGTCTTAGGAGAGACGGGTATAGCATGGCTCACAAACCTTTTCAATGAGATTTTGAAAGTGAAGAAGATGCCAAATGAGTGGCAAAAAAATAACTTTGGTGCCTATCTACAAGAATAAGAGCAACATAGAAAATTGCATGAATTAAAGGAATATTAAGTTAATGAGTTATGCAATGAAGCTTTAGGAGAAAGTAATGATGCATAGATTGAGGAAAGAGACACAGGTTTTAGACAATCAATTTGGGTTCTTATCAGGGCGCTCGACTATGGAGGCAATCTATCTCTTACGAAGATCAATGAAACGATATAGAGATATGCAAAATGATTTGCACATGATCTTTATAGATTTGGAAAAATCGTATGATAGGGTCTTTTTGGAGGATTCTAGAGAAGAGAGGTGAACAAGCAACATTTATCCAAGCAAACAAAGGACTTGCATGATGGAGCAATGCCTGCAGTAAAAGCTCCTTAATGACAAATTGAAAGCTTTCCCATAATTATAGGGTTACATCAAGACTCAGCTTTAAGTCCTTACCTTTTTGCATTGGTAATCAACAAGTTAATGAGACATATTTAAGATGATATATCTTGGTGTATGCTTTTCACAGATGGTATAGTGCTTATAGATGAAACGCCTAAGGGAGTAAATGCGAAGCTTAACCTTTGGCGAGAAGAGAATCTAAAGGCTTTCGCCTAAGTAGGTTAAAAACAGAGTATATGAAGTGTAAGTTCAGTGGGAATGGGGGTCGAAATGAGATAGGAGTGAGGATTGAAGATCTTGAAGTACCAAACAGTGAACGTTTTAGCTATCTTGAATCTATCCTGCAAAAGAATGGAGATCTCAACCATATAATACAAGTGGGGTGGATGAAATGAAAAGGTGCATTGGGTGTGTTTTGTGGTCGTTGTATGCCAATAAAACACAAGAGAAAATTTTATATGACAACGATAAGGCCAATAATGCGTTATGGCACAGAATATTAGGCAGTCAAAAATCAACACGTGCAAAAAAAATGAGTGTAGCAGAGTTGAGAATGCTTCATTGGATGTGTTGGCACAAGATAGGATGGTATGAACACATGAACCAAAAACCTATAGATACTCCAATTAAAAGATGTGATTATGAGACGGAGACTCATGGCAAAAGAGGCTGAAGAAGATCTAGGAAGACTTAGTTTAAGAAAAGATATAGAGTACTTGGAGCTAACGGAAGAAATGATGCAAAACTGAACGTAATAGCGTTCTAGGATCCATTCAATCCACCTCACTTTATGATATAAGGTTTGATTATTATTGCTTTTTAATCTTATATATATATATATATATATATATATTTTTTTTTTTTTTTTTGGATCAAATTACATGACGTTATTCTTTCCTATTTCTCTTAAATTCATAAATTGCTGATGCGGTGGATTGCAATAGAGTTTGGTGGGGTTGTCGTTTTGTCACCAAGAAACGAAAGAAACGCATACTTGATATAGGCATAGACAAAAGAGAGAAGTAAGTATCACGTGCCTCGAAGCCAAAAACTTTTGTCAACATTTACGTTTCATTTATTTATTTATCAACCACGTGTTCTTCTGCATGCGTTTCGGTTTTTTCACTGCCTCTCTCTTCTGCTTGAAGATTCTATGCCTTTCTCTGCAAGAGAAGACGTTGTCGTTTTATTCTCACCACCAACGTGGATTGCGAGAGGTGTAGGCTCCACCCCACACGAAAAATGGGTAGGGTCCATATCTAGATACAATCGGAAGCCATGCATATATTTGCTTGAGAGTATGCAACGTATTAGCAAATGACATCATGGAAGTCCTATCTTTTGACATCTCAAAAGAGGTACTCGGACTTGCTTACAGCTCCTAAAAAGACCAAAAAATTGTAACTTTCAATTCTCAAATTATTAGAGAAATGGGTAAAATGCTGACTTTTAAAGTACCAGATATTATTTTTAATTTGTTAACTATCACTTATACAGTATGTTAGGTGTATAGTTTTATCATAACAAAATCTTAATACTAGTTGAAAGGAGATTATGATATTTAAACTTTTATTTTCTTCCACATTCTGCCGACGTGGAATATCGACATCGGTTACCTTAACTTTTAATTAGGTCATAAAATTACCCTCTACTTGCGCACTTATAGCTTGGTATGAATGCAATTGATTGAATTGTATAGGTTTGTCTAATTCTATGTTCATACGAGCTGGATTAACTAAAATTAACTAACAAGGGTCACATACAAAGAATGTTAAAAGAAAGTGGAGTGTAACTACTATTATTGGCCCCAAGTTTTAAGTTTATATATGAACTTCTTTAATCTCAATAATGTATATTTGAGGTTCTATATTCTTTAACCGACAAACACGGTTCTATTAAATAATAGTTAAATCATTTTACGTGAAATAGTTATTATAACTTATATTCCAAGATGATAGAACAATTTACGACTCCAGTTAATATTTTCGTAACCAAACTCTTCCCCATCCTCTTACAGTAGAGCAATAATAATATATGTGCATCACCCTCTACCTTGACCGATGCCTGAGAAACTACAATCTAGAGAAAAGTGGAGTCTGCACCTCACA